TACCTGGAACATATAATCCCAGTCATGTGATTCCCACTTAGTTTAGCAACAGAGTTGCCAGTCTCAATTAGGGTCATTAAACCAGGACTACTTGCATATTGGGTAGAACAAATTAGCATTTTGACATGGGCAAAGGTGAAGCATATTGCATTCAGCTCCTTTAAAACTACTGTTTGTCTTTCATGTCATAAAAATGAAACTGATATATTTTATAGTTTTATGTATTTACTTTTAAATGCTTCATTGATTACTTAAAAGAAAAGCTCTGAAAAGAGAACCAAAGGAATAGTGAAATACCAGAAAAGTATGTAAAGTCTTCAGAAAAGGTAGGTCGGTTCACATATAATGCTAACTAGAATAGCTGAGTTTGCACATCATTATTACATTATCAGGGAATATGGGTGTAATACATTTTGAATTGGCTAGGAAAATATCATACTGCATTTGCTGCCAACCCAGTTCGTCATGTAAATCTTTAAGAACCCTCTTTAAGAACTGCTAACAAGCAGTTAGTTACTTTTTCAAGGCAAAGAGAAATTGATGTCAATACTGTCCTTTTTTAAATGATGGGAGAAATGAAATCAGGAAGAATCCGTTTTCAAAATCTGGAATCACTTGCTAAACAATTCTACAAATATGTTAAAGATTTTTTTTTCTCTTGCTCTTGCCTATCACTTTTTTCCTTTTCTTATTACTCTGAAAGTCATACTATTTTCAACTTTCCTCTTAGTTTTGATAAATGAGTAAAGGATTCTACTGTCTCACAAACTTTATAGTGCTGCATATCCATCTGCAGGAGACAGAGTGGTGACTGAATGACAAAACTTAGCAAGCTACAGGACATGTGCAATCTCACAATGCAAATACAAAGGTGGGGTGTTTATTGTATTCATCATTTCCACATCTTTGAAGTTTTGACTGGCTGCTTATGCAGTGCAGAGAATTCTGGGAGAATACATGAAAACAGGTCTGTAATTGTCTCTGCTACCCATTCATTAAGGAGATCAATGGGGGTCTGTTGCTTGAGAGCCCTTTAATTAACTTGCATAAGTTCAGTCACACATTTTTTCTGATTAGTGTTATCATCGTATTTATTTACAAACACTATGCCACACTAAACATAACTCTCTTTGGAAAAATAAAAATATTGCTTTTCTTTTTATTTTGTTAAATAATTCCATAATAAATTAGTCCTCGGGGCTTCCTTCAAAGAGGGACTGTCTTACTCTGATAGTGCTATTCTGAAGCAAACATAGCATTGACATTTTCACATGCAGGAAGCACATATTAGATATGAATTTTTTGTCACTCAAGTAGAGAAAAAGGTGTGCAGGATGGCATCCACAAAGAATTTATAAAGAAGTTCAGTGTTGGGATATTGGAGGGTAGCAAGTGAGAAACCAGTTTTTAAAAAAGGATCCAAGGAAGATTATACACTCGGGGAAAATTATACACTGCTCAGTTCAGTGTCTTTTTTGGGAAAGCAAAAATGACCAAGGTCATAGAATAACAAAGAAATTACCACAGATTCTGCAATAATAAATTCTTCCTGACCACCATTCAGATATGGGGAAGGAAATGACCATGTCAACATGACATACTAGGACATTCAAATGTTGTCTTTTGGGGTGAAATATCTTGTTATTATATTTGGTGTATCCCCCATTAATTTTATATCTGGATATTTCATCAAAATCTTGTCTTATGAACTCTGTAGTTGCATAATGATTAGTACTTCCTTATCCATGTAGCCTTTCAACTTGCATTCCTCATTCCTTAAATTTTAGTCCCAAATATTTATCTGTCTGTATGAACCTTGTCTATGAAAACATAGACAAACCAGTTAGTAATAATAAGGAATACAGTGGGCACTCTTACCTGGTTCCTTTTCTCATTGAACAACTTATGCCAAGTATTCCACTTGTTTTAATTTTTGCTATTTGCCATTGATATATACCTTCCATTCAAGTTTTAAATTTCTCTTCTGGGTTCATTTTCTTTAAAACTGCTAATAAGAAAGGCTATTCGAAGTTATCTAAGTCTTTTTCAGGGTTTAAAGTATTACTGCCATCTTTTTTTTTTTTTGTAGCTGTTGATATCTAATGTATTTATTTTAAAAATCTACTGTCATCCTTAATTTTCCTCTTGAAATATAACCTGTTTAATCTGTTTGATTTATTTCAGAAATATTGTATTCCTCCATTTAAAGGAATTATTTTATTTTTCTTTGTTATTGAAATTGGGATATGATTTGCAACTGTGATTCAGAGAATCTCTTTTTACTTAATGGGTGATATGAAAGTCTTGGAGACTCAGCACATATCAATTCTGGGATGTTTAATGCCTTCTCTAATAAAACATCTAGTCCTTTCTTTTTGAATTTTATAGTCTCCAGACATATATTAAAGCCAGTGTGTTTATATATTGAAAGACTTTTGGAGAGAGTTTTCCCATAATTTTTCTGGAGAAATGAGAAATGCTGGAACTACTTCTAGGATATGCATATAAAAATCACCAGGAGAATTTCCCTTGGTTCTTTAAACTATACCACGCTACATTTTATAGACCCAGTTGTACCAGCTATCCAAATCATTAAAAAGAATCTAATGCTACTTTATTTTTTTCATAAACTGAAAGTGGAGGCACTTTGTGACTGTTCCCAGAGACTTGCAGTTTTTTCTGGTTGATTGGCTGTACATTAGAATAGAAAATACATTTCTTTAGCATTATTTTTGATTGCTTATCAAATTTGCTGGAGTCTTCTTGTTGGCAGTGGGGTTAATTAAAACATTGTAACAGTACAAATAAAGCAAATGGGACTGGTAGAAAAAGATACAGTATATCCTAATCCTTAATAGGATTATTGCTAGCCATACCTTCTGTCAACTCAAGTCAAGTCGTTACTTGATTTTGAAGTGAAGCAAATCTCAATAGCAACCCATTCGGGGAGAGAACATTTCAAGATAAAAACATGACCACAAATTTTAGAAAAATATTTTGTATTTTGGCTCTTCTTGTTTTCGGGAACTGAAGTCCTTGCAATGTTTTGTCTTCCAGCCCTTACTGTTTGTATTGTAATTTTTTTTTTTCTGTCACATTTCACAAAACTGAGCACACATTGGAAAACTGCTGAAACTCACTTAAGGTATTAATTAGTGAGAGGGAAGCAAATGATATGCCATCTCCAAATATTTAGATAGTGCTACCAAGCTAAGAAGAACTATAACATGATATCACATTATAAAATAACCATCCCAGAATCAAGACTTGTAACATGTTAAAAAAGCAGTACAAGAAAAGAAAGAAGTTATCTATAGCTTTTGCAACTAGCTGAAATAAAGCCATACAATTAACAATCGATATCTCTGTTACATAAAGTGTTCCATTAACATTCCAAGATCACAGCTCCTAAGCAGCATAAAGCTAAGCCGTTTCTAAGTATATACTCCTCCCTAGAGAAATTAAAACAAGGGCAAGGTATAAAGAAATAGGGTATCATCAAAGATATTACTAGACCCAGGTGTCAGTGTAGTTAATTACTGTTGCGCAAAAAGAAACCATTTCATGATGGAAGAAATAGAATGCAATCTTAAGTAGCTTCATATTTCAGTAAAAGTAATCATTTTCCAAATGGTTGGATAGAAATTATTAAAATAGAAGAAGTGAGCCCAGCTGCTCAGTTGTAATACCATAAAAATGTATTTTTTGGCCAAAAGAAAAGATATGTTTGTAATTAGCCTCTCCTCCAGATCCATTGGCAGTCAAGTAGCTCTTGTGATGTCTCATAATGTGTATTTCTACATCCCAATGGCAGCTTCTTTGGAAAGAAGTGCAGAATGAGGTCAGAAGTATTAGAAAACTATGTTCTCTTACTCAGACAAAGGGACAAACATCTCTCACAGTATTGTACAGTGTTTCCAAGATTAAAATAGTGCAATTGTTCAAAAAGCATATAAATGCTTATATCGCTTAGAAGTAGAATGTAACTCTGAACTGTTACCACTATAAGAAGAGAAATCTCCTTACCCAAACATTTGAGACAAAATTTTAGCTTAATTTACAGTCACATCTTATTAAAATTAAGACTGCAATTCCTTTTTATCTGATAGATTCTTACATTATAAAGTGTTTGTTTTTGTACTGTAGCATGAAACAATGTTACATTTAAAACTTTTATCTTCATTTCATAGTACTGTAGGGGAAGGGTTAACTGATACACAGAAGAGTGTAAGCCATAGTGCAGAGGAATTTACAGTATACACAAGATATACATTCATCTTAAAATAATGAAAAACTAAGTAGTTATTGCCATTTACTGTATTAAAGAGCAATAGATTAACTTCCATTTTATATTATGAAAGTTGGAACTTTGCCAGTTTCCATTCTGTCTGATTAGTGCAGTTACAGAAGTAGAACAGTATCACAATATCTTGATAAATATTGATAGAGTTCTAATTAAAATTCAATCAAAAATAATTGTATGAGAAAAACACAGAACTTAAATTACAATCAATAGATATTTTAAAGACTGCCTTCTTCAGTTCAGAAATCTTGCTCTGCTTTTGCCACGATCAAAAGCAATAGCAGTCAGTGAATGGTGAGAGTAAATAGAATAAAAATGCTAGGTCCATTTATCTACAAAGAAAAATGTGTTCTAATTATATTCATTAATAGCAGTGAAAATAAAAAAAAGGGGGAGGGAGAGGGAATAAAAAAATTGCTGTAAATAAATCATGGACCTAAGAAAAGTCACAGAAGAAAGACATGACATTACAAATGTGTATACATCACACTAATTCGTCCAACTGATAGAACTGAAACTTGCCCTTTCAAAATGTGTAGTATGATGGCTTTAGAAAGTGCAGTTCATTAAAAATAATAACTTATGAAAGGTAACCTCTTGGATAGGATTTTGACCTGGCACTGTGCCATTTTTGCATAAATATCGGTGAAAGATCATATAGATCATATTATATTCTTCACACTTATCTTTTCTGCAGGCAGGGGACAAACATTACCATCCAAGTTGTGCACGATGCAGCAGATGCAACCAAATGTTCACAGAAGGAGAAGAAATGTATCTGCAAGGTATAGAAATTATATATTGATATATAGAGAGAGACAGATGCTACAGTTAATGCTGAATGCAGAAACATTATGGGCATGCCCCAACTTCCAGGAGCAATCAGGGGTGGGCTGCTAGGGGTTCACAGCAGTTCAGGAGAACCTCTAGCTAAGATTCTGTGCAGTTTGGAAAACCCCCAAATCCCATTCCTGGCACCTGCTCCGCCCCTCCTAGGAGTTCCCACGCAGCCCATTTTGGATGCAGGTAAGTGCAGGGCATGTGCGGAGGCTCAGGGAGGGAGAAATACGGTCCTACCCAAAGTTCAGGAAGGCCAGAAATGGGCTTCAGAGGGCCTCTGAAGCCTGGGGAGGCTGTTTTCTCCCTCCTGGAGGTCAAGAGAAGACTCCAGAGCCTAGGAAGGGCAAAAATGCCCCCCCCATGGTGCAGGAGGCCACCTAGGCCATGACCACCATGACCACGCCCACCCATCAACTGGGCAGAGAACCCCTTGGTAAAATTATTGAAGCCTACCCCTGGGTGCAATTCAAGATACTGGTTATTACCTATAAAGCTCTTCATGATATGTTTATCTTAAGAACTTCCATAGTTTCTTCAAATCCTGTACAAGTGGAAAAAGTTGTTATGGTCCAGGTCCCATCCATTAAACAGCAAGTTCTGATGGGACCTAGGAAGCTCACCTTCTCTGTCACAGGACCTGCCTTCCAGGAACATGTTAACAGTTTCTTCAAGGCTGAACTGAGGTTATAATAGAACTGTTTTGCTTTCAGTGTCATTAATTAATCTCTGTGGATTTTCTTTCATCATTTTTTCTGATTCTGACCAAATATAAAAATATTGCCTTGCTTCAGTTCATATCCATGTGTGTTATTAGGAAATGATAAAATAAGACTAAAGTATAAATCAACATAGAATTTCCTGAATCTAAACACAAGTAAATAACTGTTACTTTTTCTTTTTCTTTTCTTTTTCTTTTCAACCAAAAATAAGAAGTACCAGAATTTACTGTAGGAAAACAAGTTTCTTCTAGTGCTTTTGTGACTATTAACATATTTCCATTATTTATCAGCAACAAAAAAGTGCAGCAGTTGTTTTTTTTTAAATTTAAACTTTTCTTAAAGAATAGTGCAAAGCAGTGCAAAGCTATATGATCTGGAAGTTTAAAGAAAAATTTCACTGTATACTTGCATTAGATTTGTCTACACACCAAATAACTTGGAAATTTTTGTCATATCTTCCTGTTGAATGAGAATCTTGGCTTCTGCCTAATCCACTCTAAATTTAAATTCTGCTCATAGAACTGAATTTTCCTTTTTTTCCACATGTCCTTTTGCCTTGCATCCAAGATCTGCCAGGGTCTCAAAAAATCTGTCTCAGGAAAACATTTCAATCTTCTGAGCCAAGTTAGGGTGGCCCAAAAAGGCCTTGGGAAAGGGACATCTAGTTTGCTAATAAATCCATGGAGGTGAGAAGACAACATGACAAAAAAGACGTTTGTGTATTGATAAATTTATTCAAAATGAACATTTGATTTAGTCTGATTTTTCTGAAGCTAAGTAATGGAGAAACAGTGCACCTTTTAATTTTGACAGTTATTTTCTCCAGCTGAATCAATGTGGAAGGAAGGACTTTGGAAAAAGTAAATCTGCCAAAAGACTTAACTGTTTAAGACATGGATGCATTAACATTGCACTGTGTGCTGCATACTTGCTTCTGGGAATTCTGCAGTATGTGATTAATTGTACATAAACAGAATATTATGGAACAGAATTTAAGTCTTCTTTTAAAAGGAGACTGATTCAAGTCAGGATGCTACTGCAGAAGTTTCTACAGTTAAGGAAAGTGGGAAGAATTAAAAGTCCCTATTTTAAATGGATTTCTTCTGAGCTGAATGAAATGTAATACAATTTATCTTGCTCTTTTCCACAATAGGTTCAACAGTTTGGCATCCCGACTGTAAACTGTCTACAAAGGGAGATGAAAAGCTAAGGGTAAGAAATAATTTGCATTTTCTGATTTTTTAAGAACTGTATGATGATTTGTTTCACTTAAAAATATTACCTTTTTTTTTTTTTTTTTTGCAAAATTTAAAAGTTCCTTTTTATAATTGTACTGTTGATCTTCCTGTTGGGTTTGGTCTTGGGTGGAAATAAACATTTGATTTTATATGATTCCTTTAGAAATTCGAAATCTTTTTTATAGACTTAAGGATGTGATCCTGTTTATTTATTTAAAGTTAATATGTCCCTAGAATAAGTCTCAGCAAAGAATTAGAATAATGTATAAAATCTGCCAATTTATGCATTTTATCATTCTGAATTCCATTAAAGAAAAAAGAATCATGAATCATTTGAATTCATGATTATGCTATAAACTGACAATATAATCTGATATATTTATAGGCTTGCATACTCATAACATACTCTTCCATATGTGGGTGGAATCTGAACAAGATGTTGTTCAGATTCTATGAAGAAAACAAAAAGAATAAAAACATTCTAAGTTTCTAAAAAATAGAACAATTGCATGATATTTTGGCAAATGTTTATTGCCTTTCTAGGAAAATAGGTAGTATTTCAGTGTCCCAAAGAAGACCTCGGATGAAACTGTTGTGCATTTTATAATTGCTTTAATTCACCCATGTCATTTTGACATTTCCCCCACTTCCTACACCCTTACACTGTCATACAGTTCAGAAGTTTATAAATTTCATAAATACATAAATTAACTTCCATCGTTTTAAAATTTAAAGGTAATATGTTCCATTCTTACTGATAATATCTGGATCTGGATTTTTTGTTCTATTCCTGAAATGAATGAGATCCAGAAAAGGTTGCCACTGGTTAAAAGAAGGAGTAAACTTTATTTCCCATATTTTCCCAAAAGATTTTTTACTACTGTACACTGGAAAAATGTGGGGTTTTGATGAAAGGAACGTAAAGAAAACAGGCATCAGAAAAAAAATTTCCTTGTTACTTGTATGGACAAACCATTATTTATATTATTAAATGGGATGTTGTCAGTAGTTGTTTGCGTTCCACAGAAATATATCGCCCTAAGTTTTGCGTCATTATCTTCATTTGGCTTCATTTTGTGGGTGTGTATACCTTTGAGTCTGTGTTGATTCCTAGCATTTAGATCTACAGTATTCCTTAAGTATCCCTTTTGAATGTCATTAAAATTTGTAAAGCTAACTTAAGTAGCCACAAAAATTGAGCTATTGATAAATAGTAAAGTCAGAAGTATGGTTCTTTTAAAATGGTTGTTAACTGCCTGGGTTTTGGGATGTGGGCCGGATATAAATGCTTAATAAACAAATAAACAAACACATTTGTTGCAAGATTAGTTCATCTCTAAGTTGAAGATCCAAACATGCTGTTGGCCAGATTGTTTATCTGTTGTCATTAGTGTGGTAATAATTCTTCAGCTAAGTGTTACTGACCTTTCAAAACCATTTAGCAAAATTCCCCGTTTCTAAGGAAACTGCAGCCATTCTTTCCTTTCTCTCCTACATGAACAAGTGCTTGTCTGGTTCAGCATAAAAGAAGTTTTGCATCTAAAGTATAAACTCTATTTCTTGAGAAACAGTAGTTCCAAAACGTGTATAGCTCTACAGAGAATCAAAACTGTTCTTGTTGTATTTCTCCTGACAATCAAAATTCATACCACCAGAATTACTTGTTGAAATAGCTTCAACTATCATCAGTACATTATACAGCATTTTGTCTACAGCGGATCTTGGACTGCATGCTCCTTATTATCGAGAGTTCCTGCTGGGTTAGATTTTAGGTGGAGTCCATAAAAACAATGATTATTTAAGATCCGTTCCCCTTGGGACATTTCCATAGAAGGTTACAGATGCCAGAAAAAGCAGGAAATAAATTAATCAGGTATAAAACTGTGGGGAATGTTTATTGCTTTCTAACGTGGCCCATAATCAATTTTTTTGTGGGGATTGACTGTTTCTCTAACTGCTGTTATGTATCAAATATCACAATGATTATAAGGAGACAACTTTTATGGAAAGGGAGGAACTTCGCTTTAATATATATGTTTAGGAAACCTTTCTCCTTTTTTCACTTTTCCTTGTTGTTTCTGTTTTATAACAGCATTCCTCATCTGATTTCTTTTATCCAAAAAGTTTGGTTCTTTGCAGGCCTTACTCTTCAGAGGTTTGCAGTTGTGTTACTTCTTTCTGCACTCAAGTTTTCAGCTGCTGCTTCCACTTCTTTCACTACCCTTACTTTCACTTTTTTAACCACTTAATGCACACTTGATTTTTAATTTTCACAAGTAAATGTCACTACTTGATATATATGTTTACATAGATTGCAAGAAAGGAAATGAGGATGCTAAAGAAACTATAATGAGGCATTATGATATTTATATACTGATACCATGTTAGTTGTTAAAGAGACAAAGTATCAATGGAAAGCATTTTACTTTGCATGTAAGTCGTTAAATGTCAACAGTCCTTTGAATTCTGGAAGATATCATTTTAAAAGAAAAATAAATCATCAGATCATCTTTGGGCATAAATCAGTCCCTGATTTATATATAAATAGTGCAGCCCATCTCAGATAATATTTAACATTTCCCTTCCATTTTACTGTCTTTCTTATCTACAAGAAGGGGGCTGAAAAAATATAGCCACTCTTATTTTCATTCTCAATGAGGTTAGTTAGCCTAGCCTAGCATAGGCATTCCTATGCTTAAATGTCAAAGTTCCATTCATGTGTTCTATATGTATTTATTTACATACTTATATAGGCATTGCTTCTCCACAGTTTAAACTTCCAGTTTTCAAGGTTGACTCAGTTTACATACTCCCCATTTTGGTAACGCTAAGTAAGCAATGTATTTAAGCCCAACTACTTGACAGTGTTTTATTCAAGTGTTTGTAGATTTTGTGCACAAATTAAACAGTTCTGTATATTTGTTTGCAGTTGTATGTATTTTTGTGTAAGCATGATAGCATGGATAATATATACATATTGCATGCCCATTTTATTTAGTTGGTATTCAAATCAAATATATGGCTGTATTTAAAATTGTTACTTATTTTAAAATATAACTCTCAGAAAACTGAGTGATGTCTTTAAAGTATCTGCTGTTCTGTGATAAATAGATGCAAGCTACTACTTCTTGAGATTGAATATTTACAGTTTCTTGATATTAATTTTAGTCAAAGTTTGTAATCTTCTCTGACAAAGGTTCTCAATGTTTAATGTCTTATAAAATGAACTTGAAAAGCTGAAAAACATGGGTTTAGTAGAGCATAATAAATTAATGATGCTTATGTTGTGCATAATACAGTAGCTTTATTATATATAATATTTAAATTATAGCTAGCATTCAGTGACAAGTTGAAACAACACCTGGTCTCAGGTCCCTTCTCTTCTCAAATATAGCTACAGAAATTTTAATTGCTTTTTTAGATTAATTTAAAAAATCATTATCTATCATCTATCTATCTATCTATCTATCTATCTATCTATCTATCTATCTATCTACCTACCTACCTACCTACCTACCTACCTACCTATCTATCTATCTATCTATCTATCTATTATTTATTTAATATATTTTCTGCCAATCTCATCATAATGTGATTCTTATTAGGAACTGGACAGTCTTATCATTCTATCATCAAAATAACCCAGCACCAAATCCTATGTAAAGATTTCATCTTTTAAAAAATTATCTCAAAGCTGCTTTTTCAAAAAGCAACTGGACTGTTGTTTTTTTAGGAAGATATTTCACTTCATTGGATTCTGTCTTTGGTTCTGTGGAATCTCCACAGACATTTTTAAAAATTACAATTTTGGGTATAGAAATGTTTTTTAACTCTATCCTAAAGCAAGTTAAAATTTAAAGGAGGTCAACATTTTCTAGTTTTCACAGAACTTAATTGGTAGAGGAAGCAAGAATATGTAGACTAAAGTCTCATTGGTCCTCGGCTTATAACAGTTCATTAGTGAGTTACAGAGACACTTTAAAAAGTGATTTATTGTTTTCCACATTTATGATCATTGCAGCATCCCCTCAATCACATGATCAAAACTCAGACAATTGGCAACTGACTCATATTTATGACAGTTGCAGGATCCCGAGGTCATGTCTCCTGACAAGAAAAGTCAATAGGGATTCACTTAACAACTGTGGCAAGGAAGGTCTTAAAATGGGGCAAAACTTACTTACTAAATAAATATCTTACTTAGCAGTAAAAATTGTGGTTGTAAGTCAAGGACTACCTGTATATCTTCATAAAGATCAGTTATACCCTAGCATTATGGACAAATGTAAGCTACTTATATAAAAAAGATGCCATCAAATTGTTTCTGTAAACCAGTACCTCTCTAAAAAAAAAAAAACAAATCAAATTGACCTTACTAATTTTCTTTTTGTGGCGCCCAGAAGTTACTCCAGAGTGGGTAGGCTCTAATGTGTTTTTTTTTTAAGTTAAAAATAATAGAATTAGAGATGATTAAGAGGGCAAATGTCTTACATCCTTCTCGTAATTAAAATCCCTTCAAACTGCCTCAGAAAGGTTTTTGATATCTCCCATTGCAGTCTTTGTGTCATATAAAACTGATATAGCCCTTGAAGTGATGGAGGTTCCTGCTGTAAAAGAAAAAAATTATATCTAAAATGTAACTGTACTCTTAGCATGTACTTATGCATGTATGAGTCACACTCTTCTGTATTTAAGAAGCTATTCTTTGGGCTTGTTACATGGTAATTCTATATGAATGCAGTATGATTGCAAACACAAACCAAGCTATTCCTTCTTCTTCAGCTGTTTTCACCATCTTGTATACTGAACACAATCAAAACGTTAAGGCAGGTACTGTAAACTGTGCTGGATCAATGTCCTTGTATCTATTAGTAGTGCATCCAGTTGGTTTGATGTTCAAGGAATTATTATTGATACAGGGAACTTCCCCTATATAATTCTCCAGAGCATGACTTGAACATCTGCAGTTCAGAGATGGACAACATCACATCACTCTTATGGAAGGATGTGGATGGCTCCAGTATTGCTTTGTTTTAATTTTTTAAAAGATTATCTGTGTAAATTAAAATCCGTGCATGGCAAAATCAATGTCAGAGTAAAACAGAAGTGCTGATTATTGAGATAAGAACCAGTTTTGCTTTTTATTAACAACAGAGGCGAGTTCCTTGGGGCAATGCTGTATATAAATATGCCAACTTTTAAATGCAACAATTAACAAAAATGTTGTGTCATTGTGGTATACTAATTTAGATACTGGATTAAAACTTGAGAAACCCAGATGCATGTTCTCATTTCACCATGGAATTAATATCTTTGGACCAGCCAGCTTCCCCTGTATGTTATTATAAAGATGAAAAGAGGAGGACATATATAGTGTAATAGTTAAAGGCACCAGGGTAGAAGCCAGGAGACTGTGAATTTTAGACATTCTATAAATATTAATCCAATTAGGTGACTCTGAGCCAGTCACTCTGTCTCAGCCCTAGGAAGAGAGGCAGTGGCAAACTACTGCTAAAGAAAATTGCATGTACTTGTCCAAGCAGTAGCTAGAAATTACTACTGACTCAGTGGCACAAAAAATGGTGGTGGGAGGGGAGCATGGAGGTGAAAAGAAAGCCTTGTATGCTACCTTGAACCTTCTCATAGATCAGCGGTCCCCAACCTTTGAGGCTTGGCAGCTGGGCTGTGGGGAACAACGGAACTGTGCCATATACGCGCATGCACAGCCCTTGCCAAGTGGTGGGCTAGCGTGCCTTCAAGCAGCTCGACTTACACAAGCAGTGGGCCAGGGTGCACATGCACGATTGCCCATCGGCCAGCTGGTCGCTCAAGTTGAGTTCCACATGCACATTGGCCAGGCCCTCACACAGCCCAATTCTAAATAGGCCAGGGCCCAGTGGGCCATGGCTCAGAGTTTGGGGATCCCTGCCATAGATATGGAATGTAGGTATAGAAATGAATTTATCTTAATATGTAAAAGAAGTTTGGGGATTCTTTTGTACAAAAATGAGATATTGTGAGGAGAGAAACCAAAATAAATACATAAAATATCAGCAAATATAGGTAACTCTCAACTTACACCATTTGTTTAACTACCATTCGAAGTTAGAGTGGTGCTGAAAAACATGACTGTCACAGTGTCCCCTTGGCCCCATGATCAGAATTTGGTCTCCTAGCAAGCAATGCATATTTTCGATAGTTGCAGAGTCATGGGGTAATGTGATTGCCATCTATGAGCTTTCTAGGATGCTTCCAACATGCATAATCAATGGGAAACTAGATTCACTTGATGACTCTGTGATTCACTTAACAACCACCATGATTCCCTTAGCAACCGTGAAAGAAAAGGTCATAAAATTGATCACAACTTATTTGATGAATGTTTAGTGATGGAAATTCTGGTCCCAATTGTGGTTGTAAAACAGGGACTACCTGTAGAGCTACTTAATGGATAGCACAATTCAAGCCCTTATTTGTAGATCAGCAGTCTAAGGAACAGGCAACAATATTGACAAATTCTATAACGATGTAATCAGAACAAATGTACTGTGCCCTCCAATTGTACATGCCTTATTTTTTTTTTTTTTTTTTTAATTTGATTTATATGCCGCCCTTCTCCGAAGACTCAGGGCGGCTTACAATGTGCTCAACAATTTTACATTTGAATCATTGGCATTTCATATTTGTAATGTTGAACATTATGTAATAATGATCTTAAGGTTGCAAGTTGAGGTATTCTTTCCTTGGATGGTATCTATTCTATATGCATATTTATTTTTACATCAGTCATACCTGACTGATGTTCCTTACATTTAACTAAATTTATTTCACAATTGATATCCGTACATTTTCAATGATATCATTAAAAAATAATCAGAAAGAGTTTTTTTGCAGGGAAACGTGTCACTCAGTATTATACGGTACATACCGTATTACACTCCTCATTTGCTAGTGTTGCACCTATTAGGAAATAAGTCAAACAAAACAAATTAATGCTTTTAAGTAAATGCATTTCTTAAAAATACAGAAACATTTTCCCCATAGGATATAAATGACATTGTAGAAGATGACCAGACTGATCCCGAAGGTAGGATCAAATGCATCATCAGTCATGAGTCCCTGCACACCCACAAGAGATCTAAGTCTAACCCACCTTGAATTCCTTCTTAACTCCCACTTATTTTCTTTCACTTTTAATAGTTCAGATTGTTGTAGAGAGCTTAACCTTGTAATAAATCTTTGTGCTCATTTGATCTGCCTGAATCTCCTGATTTCCCCTGAGGGACATTAAAGTTTTAAACTTGTTTAGGTTTTCCATACAGAGGAATTTTGAAAATACTTGGGGGAAAAACAATTAAAAGAACATTGTATAAGTTTGATTGAAAGAAATTGCTTTCTAGCTGAAGTATCTGAATGAATATAAGAATTAACATTTCATTAAATGGTCATTAATGGTCATTAAAACAAGCAACCACAATTTTTTTACAGTGCAGAAATGATTTTAAAAACTTTGCATATTTAGAAATTTATTGATAAATCTGAAAGTTTCTTCTGGATACAAAAATGATACCCAAATAAGTCAAGCCAAAAATATGACTGACAGAAGACTCAAATAGTTGTTTAATTACAGGTCAGCAGATAAAATTTATTGTTATAATGGGGGGGGGGGGAAGAATTAGTTGAAAAGCAAACTAATAATACCTTATAGTATTATTACAACAAGCATCAAATATTTGTTTGCAAAATATCCAAAATATTACATAATAGCAATATTTTTTTAAAAAAATCTTGCTTTACAAAAACAAACATATGTTGTTGATATATTTTATGGCATGTTCATTTTGTCTCTCAGTACTGGCTTATGCCTCTGAAGATCATCTTGTTCTTTGTTATAGACTATTATGCAAGAATAACTTGTTCTTTTGCTTTTTTACCCCATTTTTAAAAAGAAAAAGGAACTAAACAGCAATTTGCTGAAATTGGGAATTGGATATCCCACCAAAAAATTGGGAGATCTGTTATCTTTTACAAAATAAGGAAAATGTACTTACTGCCTATCTCTTTGCAAATATTTCCACAGTAATGTCTGGAATGAATAATGTTTGGTTTTGCAAATCTTGATCTTTGGTTTCTAGCCAGTGAGAGACAAAGAAAAGTTCAGCAAGAGTTTAATTATAAATGGTGTTTGGTTCAAGCAGGAAAAAAAAGGAAAGCACTTATTCTGATTATTCCTTGGACCTTGAAAGAACATTTGCTGAGGGAGGGAATGTGTATATATTAGCAAGGGGATTGGTTGATGCTTTGTAGTCTTCCCTATCCAGCTCTGTTGGATCCTACTGCACTATGAGGCAAATAAACAACACTGGTGTTTCGCTCTGAATTTAGATGAGAGATTTGGTGGTCAAGCTGGATTTGCAGTGGGGACATTCTCATCCCATCCATCTGTTTTGGTGGAAAAGAGAGTGTTGGCTTCGCTTGACCTTAATAGTATCGTCACATTGGCTCCATGGTTGGAGTTACTTGGCATGAAAGAAGGCTACCTCTCTCCCACAAACAGTAATACTAGGCAACAGCAGAGAGGGTTTAATGAAACCTGTAAATCTGTATAATCAGCAAAACATAATCTGTTGTTTAAATACGAAGGGGTCCTGCTCCTAAAAGAACTTAAATTGGTTCAGATATCCAGTTAAATTGTTATATTCCTTCATCAGGTAAGAAACTTTTAAATCTTGAATCTAGTTCAGCATGGCTCCTAGTATGAAGTTGATTAGCAAGTACTTTGTTCTGTGGAAGATAAATCTTTCTTCTGTTCAGATAATCTGAATATTCTCCAATTCTTTTTAATCATATTTATGCATGCTCATCTCTTTTCTTTAACAATTGTTTTTCAATTGAAATATTTGTGTGTGCTTTTTAAAGAAAAACAAAGCTTAGGCATATTGCCAGGATTTTATTTTATTTTACTGCAATAAAATACAAGCTTTTAGTTTTAGTTTTTTTTAAAGGATTTCCCACCCACCCACCCGTGTTTTCTATGTTGGGTTTGTATGTTCCTGAAACATAATTCAATTTTTGCCCCATTTCTATATTGGTTAAATGTGTAATGGGACAATCCTGGCAAATTTTATCCTGTCTTGCAATACCTTCCTGTCTCCCAGTTCATGTGCAGTTCTAAATGAATCTATAATTTTCATTTTATGACATGATTTTAACTATAAAATCTGTGGATATAAATTTCAGTTCTGAATGAAAGTATCTCCAACCTGATACTATCCAGATGCATTGAATTTAAACTCCCATATTTTTTTGACCATGCACTCTGGAAAATATGAGAGTTTACACAATAGAAAATTTACGTTTGGGAAAAGGAACAGACTGATAATGGGAGATGTGGGAGAATTGCTCACTTTATGCCTCTTCTTGTGAATTGAGGCTGCTCCTAGGCACATCTATGAGTTTTGTACCCTGAATTTATTGAGCCACCATACTCCTAATGTAGAGAGTTTAAAAACCAAGAACTTAGCTCAGGTACAATTTAAAAATTCTGCCTAGTCTGCTTCTTTCATTGATCATTGATATATCTCAATGAAACAGATAAAACTAGGATAAGGTGGCCAGGGCACAACCTAATTGTAACTACTGTATTTTTCAGAGTATAAAATGCACTTCCCACCCTAAAAGAAGGTGAAAATTTGGGTATGTCTTATATACCACATGCAGCCCCACCGCCGGCCCCCACCCTTTAGCCTCTGCCTCCCAGCAATTTACCTCCTTGCAGCAAACAGCCTATTTCAGCTTCAGCACAGCCTGATTAGCACAAGCAGTTGATTTCAGTTGGATCAGCCTCCCAACTCTCAGCTGTTTCAGGCTGCAGGGCTTGCCATTGCCTATTGCCAGGGGGCCTCTGCTGCTTGCTGCAAGGAGGAAAATTGCTGGGAGGCAGAGGCAGATTTTTTTTTCTTGTTTCCTCCCCGAAAAAGGTAGGTGCATCTTATAGTCCGGAGCGTTTTATAATCCAAAAAATATGGTAAGTAGATCTTTAAATGATGCCACAAAATAAGGAGATGAAATACACCATCCAGTTGTTCCTGTTTTCCTGCCTCTTCATGCTCAGTTAGGGAATTCCATGGAATGACCAAGATAAAAGGAGAGAATAAATAGTCCAAAAGAGCAATGCCTGTTAGATCTGCTAATTCAACCTGGTTTTCAAAAGAAAAACCCAGCCTGAAGTATTGGACTGTACTGGTTGTTCTGCAGACTTGCAGGAGTAGGCAATAATTGTCTTCTAAAACTTTGGTGTTTTTTAGTTCTCCTTGTGAGGGATTTAGCATGAAAAACTTTTCCAGTCCATAATGCTGTGAAACTTCTCTATAAAGATAAATCCAACCTGCTTCATCAGGCAAAAAAGTTTTAGCTGAATTTTACTTTTAAGAAAAAAATGGTCATTTGAAAATGAGCTTAGCTTTGAATGTTTCAAACAGGATATCTAACCCAACCATGTTTTTACAGTGTTTTTTTCCCTCCCTTACAGCCTACCCGGACATCCTCAGAGAGTATTTATTCAAGGCCTGGATCCAGTATTCCTGGTTCACCAGGACACACAATCTATGTACGTATACGTTCATAAAATGTTTTATTAATTAGCTTTTGATTTAGTGTTATGTTTTTAGAGATGTACTTATTTAGATGTATTATCATTCATGAAGAAAACAGTTCATGACCTGGGAAATCAGAATTATTTCCTCATGTTAATTCCTTTTTATCAATTAGATTTTTTAAAAAATCTGCCATAATGGTGTTTCTTATTAAAAAAAAACCTTAAGACTCCTTTGTAAATTTTTGATTTGTTGTTTGGGCGTTGTCAATAATACAGATGGAACTTAACTTACAACTGGTAATTCATTTACAACCAGTCATTATGACCAACTCTCCCAAAAGTACTTAGTTTTGTACTAGGTGCTCAGTTCCGAGGTTCTGACAGCAACTGCCTCTTTGGTGTTCACATGACCTCATTTTGGGTGCTTGGCAGTCAGCCTGCATTTATGGCTGCTTGCAGCATCCCATTTTCACATGACCAGGATTTACAGATTTTTTGAAGAAAACCAGCATTTACTTCTGGTTTTAGGCAAAAATGTACCATAATAAACAATGGATTCCTTTAACAACTGCAGATTTGTTTAGTGATTGCATTTATTCACTTAACAACTGCAAAAAAAGTTGGAAAATTGGGTTGGCCACATGCTGTATCACCATCACAACTTCACGATTGTAATGGGCAGACTTCGTTACTGTTGTAAGTTAAGGGCTATCTATATCAAAAAGCTGTAATTTAAGGAAATCATTCTATCCCCTAATGAGTGGCTGACAAACAAAATAAAACTTGGAAATGTAACAATTTGTTGGGGGTTTTTTTTGTCTGAATGTGATGTTTTGTGAAGTTGGCAAAATAGAAATTGCTGTGGGCCATCAAAATGAGTATGTTTATGAGTGACAGCTCAATATGGTCCTCAAATACTGTTTTTATAGGGCTCATAATTAATCGGTTACATGATACTGATGCCTGGATGCTGCTCATAGTAAGCCATTGTTATTTTGTTAATAAATAAATCACAGTTGCTTAGCATTTAAAATTCACTAAGTCATAAACTCTGCTCCACTCACTAGCCATGTTAGTCAACCAATAAAATCCATGGATATTTTTCTCCTCACATCTTCTGTGATGGTTGTGGACCACCAATTTCAAGCTACAAAGTATACTTTGAAGGCAAGTCCTAATGTTCAGAAATTTCCACTTTTCTATCCTCTGGTTGCTGATTATTTTTTTACACTTCTTTGATGAATTGATGATTATCAAATCCAGTATTAATGGAATAAAAAGGGCCATTTGATTGAAAATGAATTTGGGGAGTGGAGGACAAAAAAAGGTAGGGTTTTTTGGTGGTTTTTCTTACAGGCAAAATTTAGAAGTGGATGTTAAGTGAATCTACAGATTTGTGTTTACCTGTTTTCTTTGATTCTTTAGGCAAAAGTAGACAATGAGATCCTTGATTATAAGGATTTAGCAGCCATTCCCAAAGTCAAGGCCATCTATGACATTGAGCGTCCAGATCTAATTACTTACGAACCTTTCTACACTTCTGCCTACGAAGAGAGACAAGAAAGACAGAGCCTTGGAGAGGTAATGAATTGGAAGTTCAGTTTTGAAACCAGTTCACTTGGTTTGTAGTTTAGCTTCTGTTGTTTTTATAAACAGCTGATGTAATGGTCCAGATGCTTCATATTTCTCAACTTCTTGCTTCTTTATAGCTTTGAAAAAATGTGAGTATTAGACTATGCTGTTTCACTTTTCTTTTTGATTAATAACTATGTGTGCAGGGATCCCTGTCCATCAGAGCTCTTTCCTCTCAACTTCATGCACATGCTTGCCGGGTGGTAGCCAGCAACCTTTGAGTTTGAAGCACTCAGTTGGGCATCAAATGTTCAGGATTTACTTTCTCTAGAAGTGGCATAGATTCTTAAAGAAATACTGCTATGTGGGTAGAGCATCTGTGTGTGACATGAGCAGTAAAATGATGTGAGTACAAGAAAACATTATTAGAATTGTAATAATGACACTTGAGTACATGTTTAAAAAAAAATATTATGAGATCTCTGTGTTTGTACAGAAATCTTTTTTACATTAAACTAGCTATGTCAATTGGAATGGAATAGCATTCATCCAGAGATCAGGATGTCTCCAACCCTTCCAAAAATAATATTGATGACCTTGATGTTCCTCCTTGGACCAGGAAATGAACCAGATCTGTTGGCAGATTACTTTGATTCAGTCTGTCTGGATTGAATATGGAATATTTGGACCCAGACATAAACTATGTTTATGTGTTGTTATTAATGTGGGATTTTCTTTATGTTAGATTTATATATAAATGAACAACAGAAAAAAAGAAAAACTTGAATATTCATATCATTATCCTCAACGTTTTGATCATATGTATTTCTTGGAAAGATTGTACCTCAGATTCACGGCACAGAAATGTTTTCACAGAGTGCCACCTAGTGGAAGCCATATTATTTTGCTATTGAATCTAAAACTCATTTAACAATTCTTAACAATTTTTAATGACAAAACTTGATTATCTACCATTTTTGTGGTATAGTTCTGATCCATTTTGTCTTTGTTCACATTTACTCCTCAGGCTGCATTTCTTTTCAAGGAACTCTACTTCCTGATCTATCTTTATTACTGATTTTGATTTTGATTTTAATTCGTTGCTCATTTCAGCCATTTCAGATATTTTTCTCACTCTTGGTTTTGTATAAGTCAGTGTATTTTTGAATAAGCTTACCGCTGTTATGTAATTATTAGAACACCATATGCAGTAAAAAAAATGCAGACATTATTAGTAGAATAGTTGTTATTTCCATATGTATCGGCAGGGTAAATATCAACCCAAACAGGTTTTAAAAAGAACTACAGTTAATTTTTATATAGTGATTATAATAGGAATGATTAAAATGGAACTGAGAAAGTAGATCCATATCTATGCTTTCTTAAGACCTTGAACCAATGGCCTTTTCCTTACTGGCCTTGACTTTCTGTCAGTTCTGCTTTCCATTGTAAAGTCTGCAATCCCAATTGTAACTTCAAACCTGGGCTGGATTTTGGAAAACTTGACTTAGATGAATCAAATAATAACAAATAGATTTTAAATTTTACTAGGTTTCTTTATCTTCTCTGTCATTGAAAGACTAACATTTATTCTAATTCTGCTCACCTTGCTTTCATTATCCATTATATTATTGAATAATTGAAGTTTTGATAAGTAGTGAATGTGTAAAAATAATATCTCATATAGTCCAATAATCGAATTTAGGAACATGTTATTAGATAGTCAAATGAATCATACTATGTTCCATTAGTTGGGTCATATATTATCATTTCTTTTTTGTACTGTCAGAGTAGGAAGTGTAGGAAGAAAAATGCAATGACCATGAAAATGGATTAGATTCATCCCCAGCAGATAAGACCATAAGTGGCTATTACTCATGATGACTGCATATTTCTCCCATATAGAAGGTGCTAGAGAACAAGAAGAATGATCCTAGTTTTGGGATTCTATAGACATCTGTCTGGCCTCTGAAAAAACAATGTGCTGGACTGAGATAGGATTTTACCTGAGTCAGCACACCCTTCATAACATATTTAATACAGGGGTGGGAAATTATGGCCCTTTTATGACTTATGGACTTCAATTCCCAGAATTCCTGAGCCAGCCATACTGGCTTAGGAATTCTGGGAGTTGAAGTCCACAAGTCATAAAGAGGCCATAGTTCCCCACCTCTCATTTAATTGAATTGCATCACTCAGTTCTTCTCAGGAATATATCGATGGGCTCTTCAGATGGTTGGACACTAGTCAGTTTTCTGCTTCTAGATGCAAAGAACTAAGGGCAAAACTCAATTGTAAATTTTCCTGCTGAATTGATAAAATGTCCTTTACAAGTTGAATATTCAGTTATTCAGTTATGTTTCAGCCCTGAAACAGGGCTACCATTTATGAAATCTTAGTAGTTTACATTTTAAGTATTAATTCAGTACTGGGGCAGAGAGGGGGGGACAGATTAAAACTTGACCGTGAAATATTCAAAAGTTGGTAGATCCCCGATACTAGCAATATTATATTAACAAAATATTTTATTTTTCATTTTTATTAGACTCTGGCTTGGTTTACTCTTGTAGCCTGTTGGGCTTTATATATACTATATATAGTTTATAGTAAGGATGTATGAAAATGAAGCAGTTTTAATCCCTTTTTTTCCCTTCAGAGTTCAAGATACGGCAGTTCTCCTGTGCATGATGAAAGTGTAAGTTGAAAAAAAAGAGTGTAAAATCCATAAAGTAATAGACGATATAAAACAAATTGGCATTAGACAGTTTGTCTCTAGTTTGATTGATTTACATATACATATTATCTATAAACACATCTGAAGAATGATTGTTGTATAAAATAGTAATATCTTTAAATCATAAGATATTAATTTATAACAAGCTGCCCAGAGTCACCTTACAGGGAAGATAAGCAGCATAAAATGTAATAAATAAATAAACAAGCAAGCAAACTTCTAGACAAATAAACATTTGGTATGGTGCACAGATTTTGACTACATTTCTGCACACAAAGGTGCAGATAAAGTTCAAATACATTATTTTAGAAACAAGGCTTTATGCAACTTCTTATAAAAGAGAACTGCTAGATGGTCCATTGTTGTGAAAGTTGCTCTATAATCATTTGTTAAATAGCATTTCTTTCCATTTGCCTTCTGCAGTTTTTTTAAACTGCAATGTGTTGCAGCTCAAACCACACTGAAAAATTGCAGTGTGGTTTGAACTGCAACAAAGATATGTGGTTAAATAGATATGCCAAACTTCATCACAAATTTAGGTTCTCCGAGGCATGTCTAAGAACTCGTAGATCATAGATGCATAAAATTTGACTTAGATGTTATTTTAAATACCTTTTGGGCTATAGAAATCACAATGGTATTGCTAATTGTCTTTGCTTTCTGTACATCAGAAAATGAAGATGGTAAAGCTAATCAAATCTCATTTTGGTGTGAAATGGCCATTTTATTTGGGATAGATTTCATTGTAAACATTTTTGTCAAAGAAATGTCAAAATACTTATTCCTCTTTCCCTTTAAATTTACAGTCAAAATGAAGTCTTTTTAAGTAGGACTTCAATATCACATGTATTTGGTAAATTCCTGATAAAATTTCAAAATCACTGAAAGATGAAGCCAATGAGTTACCGTTACATTTATTTATACTGTAGAACTACAGTAGTTACCTTACTAATGTTCATGATAATCAAGTTTCCAGTAAATAAAAATAATAATAACTTTATTGTCATTGTACATGTATACACAGTATATCCATACAACAAAATTCACTTAACACCCAAACACCAGGTCTAACACACATAACAATACCCAAACACTCCCCCACCCACCACAAATTCCCCATCCCTAAACCACCCAAACATCCACACAACAGACCAAGTAATGCTGTCCAACAGCTACTGATGGTGTCCCTTTAGTTCATTGTTGAGTGCAATTATAGCTCTGGGATAAAAACTATTCAGAAAACATGTGGTCTGAGTTTTAATTGTTCTGTATCTTCTGCCAAAAGACAACAGTCCAAAAATATTGTAAGCAGGATGGGAAGAGTCTCTGAGAATATTATGCAACTTCCTCAAACAGCGAGATTCAAAGATGTCGTCCAGGGCTGGAAGCTGGAGTCCGATGATATTCTGAAATACTAAAGTTATTTATGAATCTTCGATTAGGTTAAGCACAAATTAGCATACGTGTGGCCCTAAATTTAAGCAGTTTCTTAACTCCATAAATCTGACTGTCAGAATTGGATCAAACAATCTTTCTCATGAAATTATCAATTATCTGTCATTGATTTGATATGACAGATTTCCTGAAATGTCTTACCTGTAATCTCCTTTCTGCTATGTCTTTCAGTCACCAAGGACACTCTCTCCAACTCCATCTGCAGAAGTAAGTTCCAATCAAACATTCTGTAATCTTGTTAAATTGACTGCTGTATGATGGTGAGATAATTGTTTTTGTAAAAGAGATGAAGCCCCCTCCCAATTCCACTTGCTGATTGTTCTGTTTAAAGAACTTCCATTACAAAAGGATTGCAAGATAAGTGCTTCCTTATAAAATCTAGCTTGGTATTTTATGATTTGGTATGATACAAGTGAAGAAGCATTTTTGGAATTACGTACTGCAACTACTAAACATGAGTAGAAGGTACAGCATAAGTAGAACGACATCTATGGAGATTCTCAGTCATCTGGGTCACGGTTGTCCAGTTGCTTCTTGAAAAAGCACTTTTGGGATAAGGAGAAGGAATTTTATCAGATCATCTGCTATAATACATAAAATAATATTTTCTTCAGGGTTATCAGGATTTTCGAGAACGAATGATACACCGGTCAACCAGTCAGGGTTCCATTGGTTCCCCTGTATACAGTCGTCATAGCTACACTCCCACCATGTCACGTTCGCCTCAGCATTTCCACAGACCTGGTAAGGCTAATGAAACCATAGAACCAAATTTTAGAAAATTTTAGAAATTTTAGAACCAAATTCTTTATCTTTTAGAATCCCTAGGAAAGGGATCTACTTCTTTCAATTTCAAAGCTATTTATTCATTATAAAACTGTGTTTCCTTTTCCTTCTCACTTTTTGTCAAGTGGGTCCTTCTTTATTGTAGAAGAATGGGGGATATCTGCTAATTAGAAATTAAACAATTTTCTGAAATGGATTATATTATTTGGGGCGATAATTAATTAGGAAAACTTGTAAAATTACATTTCTCTAGTTTCTTTCACCAGCAAATAATTCTGAATTTTAGGTTATGGGCATTTTTTAATAAAGTCAGGGTTTCTGATTTTTTGAATATTCAAAAATGTAACTTTTAATGCAAACTTTTGATGTAACTTTCGCTTGTTTGATGATGAAAATGTAAAACCGTTTTTTCTTTTTAAAAAAAGTCTTTATTAAACTCTAGGGGAAGGAAGTTACAGTATAGTATTTTCTTAAAAAGAGGAAAGAAATTCTTTAAAAAAAACTTATCAGGAATTAGTTTCACTGCTGAAATGCCAGACATACATATAGAAGTAAAACAATCCCTGAGTCAGTTTCTGGTGACCTTGGTAATGTTATGAAAGTTGCCTATCTTTGCCTTTTTCTGTGATTTGTTTTTTCAATTACCTAATTTAGTGATCAGTACTGGACTACCTAAACAATCTCTCATCCAAGTGTTATTAGAGTCAATTCTCTTCTATTACATCTAGGCTTTTTTCCCCAAAAATATTCTGCATCAATATTAATTTGGCAATTTGTTAATATACAGTATGTTAATACTGAGTATCCATTTAAAATTTTACTTTACCTTTAAAACTCATATAACAATATAAAGTTAATACTTTTTGAGAGGTTTTAAAATTTTGATGATACCATAGGAAGTCAATTGGCACCATTAACAGTTTATACAGCCTCAGATTTTATTATTTTTCCAGATCTTATCTTTGGAGAAGAAAAGTAAATTCACACTTCAGTAGAAAGAAAGCTTGTCTTTAAGAATGCCCACATACCTAAAATATCTATATTCACCTTTTTTAAGCCTCTGAACGCTAGTGTTTCATTATTTCCTGAAACTTTTCTTCTGGTAAACCAAGTGAAAATTTATGGTGATTAGAACTTACATTCTATTTTTAATATGATTCTTCTCTAGTGCTTATACTATATTAAATGTTTTCATTAAGAGAAAAAAAATATTATTGTGGAAATTATTTGTTTGATTTATATGGCCACATATTTGCCAAGTAACTATAACTTTTCTTCTAAAATACATTAGCACAACATATAACAAACAACTAAGCTTTTATTTGTAATTGTTTGGTCCAGTTCTTTCCCAGATAATTATTCCTTGAAAATAAGTTAAAAATGAGAGTAGCATGAATGCCAGTTCCACCCTATTTGTTTGTATATAAGGAAATAAGGATTTAACTTGAAATGAGGGAATATTCAATGTAAATCTGATTTTTCCACATTTCTTCCTATGAATTTTTCCTGCAGTAAGAAACCTGTTTTATTTCCTTTGTATAGTCCTCAGATTCCTACTTATGACAGCTTGTCCCTGTGTTTCCCTCAGCCTCCAACCACTTTTTCCTGCTTCTGTCTTATTTGGTCTTCTCTTTTCTTTGTTTCTGCTTTGTCCTGCTTCACGAATCCTTGCTGCTGCAGAGCTGCTGTCTAACGGTGTGCAGCGGTTAGCCCTCCTACGCACTAATAGTCCAATCTCTACCCACAATGATTCCCGCCCCTACTCCCCTTTCCGACACCACTTCATTCCCTATGTCAAAGGTAAGGAGACAGGCCATTCAAGCTAGCGTCCAAATGACTGGAGATTTATTAGCATTCTAGGAAGCTAATAAGCCACATCTCCATAAAATGGCTGTCCACTCCGTGGTCCCAGCATGCTCAGATTTTTGTCATAACGATTATGCTAGACCTGGCATATCTTCTTTTCTTTGAGAAAGTATGCCCTTTCTAAGGGTCCTCCATAGATGAAGTGGTCCTGAGTGAAGATTTCTTAAGAAAATGTGACTGTCTGAAAACTGAGATATTTATCATTTTGGGAGATTAATTTGGAAACAGTTATAGTAAATTCCTCTCTCTTTTCAAACACACTGACATGACTCACATTTTCCTAATCTTAAAGTCCCAGACCACATACTAATTATGCATGAATTTTAGGGGTATCTTCCATATATACTAGCTTCTAATATAGGTTTACCTAGATATATATGTATGTATATATGTATAAAAAAAACAGTTTCCTAGTTTACTAAATCTCCAAAAACGTTATTTCAAACATTTGGGATGGATGCTATGTTTAAATGTGTCCTCTTATCCCATGCACTTGCCTTTTGAATATAATGGAGCATGCTTATTTTGCAAATTTAAAACTCTAATGTAGAAAGGTGCTTTACATTTTGTCCATAACAATTGTCAGTGATTCTCTGGCATTTCAGAAAAGAGGGTTTTTAAAGCTCTACTTGCAAGTTCCAAAAGAAAATCTGTGAACTTGTTTATGGGAAATATGTATTCTAATACAAAACCATGACTTTTCACACAGTGATGTGAGGGTCAGCTGATACAACATTTCATCATCTGAGACTGATACAATATTTTAACTTATTATAAGGCCTACATTCTAAGAATTCTCTGATTCTTTTCCAGTTGTCTTGCTCCATCTACCACTTTGAGCTTCGTGTACATAAACCTAGTTCTCCTTAATGGCTCTTACATCACCTAGTTCCTGTATTCAGCATTACTTACTCAGGAATGGTTAAACAGTAGAATTGGCTTAATTAATAAAAGAGAAACAAGTTTCAAATGCAGCCATAATCATGCACGCTTAACCTTCCAAAAGCAATACATATATCAGTATACATAGATCTCAATTTCCTAATTATGCTAGTATAAAATACAATTGCAACTTTTATTTTTGCTTTGTTTCAGTCATGAGGTCCCTTAAAAACAGAGGCACAGTTCATATTTGCATGCACTTGATGCATACATTCTAGTTTTACATTTTCATGTTTATCTCATGCTTTTTAAGACATTCTCCTTCCTACTGTCTCTTTTAAATCTGTCATGGCAAAGCTTCAAGATCACTTCATAGTTACCATTTTCTAAAAAGTAAATCTATCTGGAAGACTGAATTTGTGGTTTGGGTTGATATTTCAAATTCAGGAAGTGGGGAAGTAAATATAGGTGAATTAAATGGAATCAAATTGGGATTTTTTTTACCAATGAAAGATCTTCGTTAATGGAACAATGTCCTATCATACCTTCTAAATCTGTTCACGGATTCTGAAAGATTTCTGCCTTCCTAATTCATGGATGTAAAAAAATCTGGTGGAAAATTACTGCGGGTTATGTATGTTATAATTATTTCAAAGAATTGTGAGAATGTGTGTGAACATCAGTGACTGTTATTTTCTTTTCATTTCTCTGTCCTCATTGGCAGCTTCAACCTGGGCTGCTTGGAAGCTTGCTACTGCACATTGTTAATAGTAATGGTTATGAACCTAGTATTTTGCAATTACTCAGTGGTTTCATAATACTTATATAGCATATACCCAAATATAAAGAATATTTATTTCTAGGAATTCTTTTCAACAACTCACTAAATGAGAAATAGGATGCTATCAATAACCTATCTTAAGGCCATTAGGATACATATTTGGTTACTGGATGATGTTTGCTAATACTGAAAAAAATAACAGAATATTCACTTGTTTATTCCCCCAGAAGTGTTGTGGAAGTAGGATCCATGTTCTTTCTGGATACTTTCAAATTAGGAACAGCTACTGCTGAATTGGTCCATCAAATCTAGGATCAATGATACTAAGCAGCAGATTCCCTAAGAAATAGATTCCTCCAAATGATTTCCCTGCAGATCATGATATTAGAACAGAAAATATTGACACTACTTGATTACCAAGCACTTAATGATACTCTGTTGCTCTTGTTTTAGAAGTTCTGCTTTGGACTTTCTGTTTTCATTTACTGCTTTTCGTGTTAGTTTATCTCTTCATTTGCATCTTTATGTACATATTTTAAATTGAAGTACAATATTCCAAAATATGCAGCGTGCTGTTCTAATTAAGGAAATATTTGTGTGCTTCCTGGACAGATAATCATAATAGTGGTAATTTATATTATAGTCTATTCCTGAATCAATACTGTGTCACTTCCATTGTGAACTTGAAACAAAAATTATTTTAGCATAGTTACATATGCTAAACATATCACAGGTGTAATATTTAGATTATGCAGTTTTTCTAAATGTAGTTAAAGAATGAGAACTATTAGTCCCTTACCCCATCAAACTCAACCTTTTGTAGAAGAATATCATCTTGAAGGAAACCAGATGTAACAAGTAAGTCCAGGGTTCATGATTTCTAACCTTAGGAAACTTGTGATGCCTGCACCATCCTGGAGGGTTTTGTTTTTAGTGCTGGACCATGGACTTAATTGCATCTATCTGGACTCTTTGTGTACATGGATATGATATGACATCATAGTTTACTGAGTAGCTCCAAGAAATAAAGCAACATAGAGATGTCTTGAGGGCTGCTGGAGGAAGACAGTGAAACCAAGCACAGAGGAGTACCTACATCAGGACTTGTTTGTGTCAATAAAGGTAGCAAAACATATTTATAGCTCTATCTTTATTGCATCTGCAGATGACTGCCAAGCAGCTTTGTTTCAGGTGACAAAGTCCTCTTGGGTGAGGAAGAGCTGGGGGAGCCCCAGCACAGCTACTGTGAAAAATATTTTTTGGCTTCTGTCAGTCAAAGTTGCTCATCTTTGCTGTGAATTGGACTCTGACTAGAGAGACCCTTTGAAAGTGACATTTCAAAGACATGTATGAGCTTTGTTTTAGCTGGTTGGATCTGAGGAAGTAGACAGGGGTCTTGTGCTGTGAGCTTGGCCCCCTGTGTTCTAGCCACTTCTGGTTGATTAAGACCTCCTGGGAAGTGGCATGCAGTTGGGTAGAAACAGTGGTTAATGCCTCTTTGTGAGAGGGGATGTTACTACCTGCCTTAAAGGGAATGTTCGTACATCCCTTTCTCAAGAAGCTACCCTGAATTCAGTGGTGCTAGACAATTTTCATTGTCTCCAATCTTCCCTTTTTAGTGACGGTTGTTTAGATGCTAGTTGGCATGCAGATACAAAGGGCCTTGGATGAAGAACATTATCTGAATTCATTTCAGTCTAGATTCAGGCCAGGGCACTGAAATGGCATTGGTCATACTTGTCAATAGTTTTTGGAAAGGTCATGATAAGGTGGTACAATCATTGTGGCACTCCTGGACTTCTCAATGGCTTTCAGTACCATCAAAAATGGCAATCATCTAGATTTCAGAGGGGTGGCAGTGAGAAACATTGTGTTACAATGATTCTCCTCCTTCTTCTATGGCTGGTTCCAATCAGTGTTGGTTCTTTCCCAGCCTTGCATTATGGGCGCCTTAGAGCTCAAGTCTTTTGCCTTTCTTCTTTAATATCTATATGAAATTGCTGGGAGAGATGATCTGCTCTTCTAGTATTGGCCAAGCACCTGCAAGCTATAACAGTCTGGATGAGAAGAAGCCAGCTTCAACTCATCCCTGGCAAGAGGGAGTGGCTCTGGGTTTCTGCCCTCCCAGGTGATATTATATCTTTGACTTTGGATGAGGTGGCACTACCTTGGGCTGAGGTGAGTCCTCCTAGACTCATGGTTCCTGCTTGAGGAACAGGTTGCTACCATGGCTGGGTGTGTGTGGGGACTTGTGCAGATTTATCTAGTTCATCAGTTGCCCTCCCTTTTGGTCTTGCTCATGGTCACTCATGACTTGATTACTTCCCATTTGGATTACAACAGTAGTACGCTCTACATGTGGCTTCTCTTGAAGACCACCGGGAACTTTCACCTGGTCCAGAATGTGGGGTACATGCAGTGATGCTAGGTTTATCCATGATACACCCCTGTTGCGTGAGCTGCACTGGCTCCCACTTTCCTTCTGGATATAATTAAAATGCTGGTTCTTTCCTTTAAAACCCTAAAAAATATAGGATAAGGTTGTAAGACAGCCTCTCCCCACGTTTGGATAAGGTGGGCATACTCCTAGTCCCTACCCTTAAATGTTGCCATTTTATGGACCTAGAAAATGTATCTTCTTCATGACAGCATCTTTCCTATAGAACGCCCTTCCCATTGAGGTTTGGCAGGCCTCCACCCTTTTAGGCTTCCTAAAAGCACCTAAGACTTGCCTTTTCCCCCCAAGTCCTTGGATAGGATGAGATTAACAAGAAGACCTTGTGGTGGACTGCATATAAAAGTTTAACTATAGTGACAAGTTTTGATGTTTGTGGTTTTAATATTTTTATTGCACACATATGTTATTTTAATTGGTGGTGGTGAGCTGCCCAGGGGTTGGTACAAGATGAAGAGCTATGTAAATATTTTAAATAAATAAATAAATGTCTGCACAATCCTGTTGCGAGCCAAAAGTTGGGGGACTTTATTATTTGCAGTGATCTTCCTGAAGAGAAGGATCTCTTTCATGTAGCCGGTCATCAAATCCAAACATGCTTGGAATCAAAGAAGATGTTACTTGTTCATAATTTTGTACCTATACTTTGGAAATGGATAACTGCATCACTAAAATTAGACATGCAGTTGGTAGGAGAAGAAAGGTAGTTATGCATTTTCTTCCCATAGTTTTAAAAACTGCTACTCAAACATTTTCTCATTGTTCTTTCTGCCATACTTTTTTTTAGAGCTAACCTTACCATTTGGCAGAGTGGTAAGCTACCTAAGTAGTTGATTTGGCTATCTTAAACAGATAGCACCTATATAGACATAGATACAGATAACACAGATATTTCCAGTAAAATTGAGGCATCTCTGTCTCTTATCATTATCTCTGTCCCTCTGTAAAATAGATTTGAGACATTTTCCGCTTTAAGTACTAATTACATGTATCCTATCTTGACATGGAGAGGGAGCAGAAACATTCAAAGCATTTACTGTTCTGTCTCAGGCAAGAAAATGTTTGGGCCAGCTTTGCTTCCCCAGAAGCTTATCTGGAAATGATTCTCCAACTGAACAAAATGTATCTCCAATGAGGAGTAATGTGGTTTAAATTAATAAGAAATGAACAACTGCACCAGGCATTAACTGGAATAACTTGCAGCCTCTTTGCTCATTTTTATGTGTGATCATTTTAAGAATGGGAGCTTCTTTTGCATGAGAATTAACTGAAAAGCCAACTTGATTTGCACTTTGCCTAGCAATAATTTTGCCAAATGCTGTTACTTATATACTGAAACTCAGTAATTCCAATCGTCTTTTTCCATTGCTTTTCACATCTCATCCATGTAATTTAAATGCATGGTACCCTTATGCATGCTATTGAGAATGAATGAATGAATGAATGAATGAATGAATGAATGAATGAATGAATGAATGAAATAATGCAAGTTGCCAAATTCCAGCTTAAGGCGAATGACTCCTTTAATATGTAATAGCAGTGCCTTACAACATTACTAAACTCTCCTGTATATATTTTTGTTTGTTTTTCCTTCTCTGGTTTCCCCTTGCCATTGATTTTTGGTTGGGTTTTGACTTATGCCTGCTTCTTTACTGCTCTCTTTGTTTTGTTTGTTTGTTTGTTTTTCCATTCTCCTCATTGGAGGCAATGAGCCGTCCAGCGGTCGGAATTCCCCCGCCCCTTATCGGCCCGACAGTCGCCCTCTAACACCAACTTACGCTCAGGCCCCTAAACATTTCCATGTTCCAGGTAGGAGTGGCATTGTGTGTCTTGGTGTCTTGTCCGAGTGTAGACTGTAGTAGCCTTTGTAACCCTTTGTTTTTGTCTCCATCGCTGCATGTTGTTTAGTTGTTTTGAACTTGGGATATACCCTGAACTGCTTTGAGATACAGACTTGTTCGTTTAATTTGGGAACAATTAGAAAACGCTGGATATGGGGAGATTTTTAGTTATAATTAATATTTCTCCAAATCATAACATAGAGGAAACAGCGATACACAGTGATTTAGTTTAGTGCAAGGCCCTAAAGTTTTTTTCTTGTTTGTCTCAAAGTTATACCATGTTGATATTGGATACTATTTTTTTAACAAAGGACAAAATATAGGATGCACTCCTAAGCATTTGAAAGAAATTAAACATTATCAGCTTTTCTTATAAATTTTCAAAAGAAAAAAAGAAAACTTAGAATAGTGAAAGGAAGAATTTACATGAACATCATCTCAATTTGAATTAATTATTAAATTAATTATTAAATTAGTCTTATGTATATGTCCATATCATATAGCGCAATTGATTACATAATCTTAGAAAAAAATAGGAAATTAACTATACATACTGGTATAAAGAGACAAAACATCGAAATAGGCCTCTGCTGAAAATCCCATGGCAACAGAATGCTTTATCAATATCGAAATGGAGGTAAGTTCTTCATACCTTTGTATAATTGAAAAAGAAGGGATATCCTTCATTCTTATGGTATTAGTCTTTTTGTTATCATTGATATGTGCAATATCCATTTTGTTTGTCTTCTGATTAGTAGCCACATAATTGGTATATAATTTAAAAAGAACAGGAGTCTTTCAATAAAAACCCTCAAATTAATAGGGAGATACCATTTTTTAAAAGGGAGCTACTGTAGTGTCCAGTCATACCCAATGATTCAGTGTGAAATTGAACACTTCCTCCCCACAGGACTTAATACTTTCTGTGATTTGTTGTTCTCAGACATAGATGTGACATGTAGATGCCAAAATACCTTTCCATTTAGTTTTAATGTGTTGATATTCTAAATTTGTACAATTCCCTGTACCTTTGTATACTTCATTTTGTATAACCTAAGTTAAGTATTTATTAACTATTTATAAATTATATTTTATACATATTATTTAAATGTCGGTTAAATAGAAGAGATTCCTGAAGTATTCAGGACTGTTTTGATTATCATGTTGCTTTTCTCATTATTCCAATAACTCCTAAGAGAACAGGTTGGCATAACGATGGAGCACCTATGGCACATGGCAACAGTGATCAGTTCTGTGATATTCCCAATTTTTCACTTTTCACTGCAACTTTTGTTGCCCTTTCACTTAGAACTGCTGTCCCTTTGTGGGTCAGTGAGCAGAGCTATAAAACCATGGGTCACTTTAGTTACTTTAGCCATACATAGACCTGGTATGTATCCACATAGATTGTACTTCAAAAGATTAGCAGAATAGAACAAAAAGATGGATTGTGTGCAATTTAAATTAACGAAATTAATTAAGTACATTTAGTATTTTCCAGCCAATGTTTAGAAGGGTCAGTAGGCTGTACCTAAAGCTCTGGGACAACATATGAACCTGGAGCTCATGGCATGGATCATGCCTTAAAATGATAGCATATCATGGTGTGGTGTGGGAGGATTTTAGGATACAAATGGAATTAATATTTTTATTACATCTTGGATACTCCCTACTCCAATAGTTTTCTTCCCACTATGGAGCTCTCTTTCAAGAATGCACATCTCAGAAGATTGGAGTCAAAAACCCAAATGAACCCTACAGGCAATGGTTCTAGTAATACAGCCTAATTTTTTATCTTGTGTACATTTAATCTGGTCGTTACAATATTATACAATATCCATTGCTGATACTGGGAATGTTTTTAGAAACTGTCATAGTAGAACAAAAAGTATTTTGGGAGGAATAAAATTATTTGCTAGCATATAATAGAACAACAATTGGAAGGAACCTTGAAAATTTTCTAGCTCAACCTCTGAACAAGCAGGAAACCCTATATCATTTCAGATAAATGGTTGTCCAATCTTTTCTTAAAAACCTCCAGTGTTGTAACATCCACAACTTCTGGAGGCAAGTCGTTCCACTGATTCCACTGTTCTAACTGTCAGGAAATTTCTCCTTAGTTCTAGGTTGGTTCTCTGCTTGATTAGTTTCCATGCGTTGCTTCTTTTCCTGCCTTCAGGTGCTTTGGAGAATAGGTTGGCCGCCTCTTCTTTATGGCAGCCCGTTAGATATTGGAACATATTATTTATCTAAAGTTCCTTAAATGAAGAAAACTATCCATTATGTACCATTCCCTAGATATACATACTAAATATCCAGCATGAAGTGATCCTGTTACACATGGCAATTGTTGTGTCACAGAGCAATCTTGTTTCAATGGATTTGGAAGAGAGAAATGTCAGTCCCTTTAGGGACATTTGCTGTTAAATATGTCAAATATATCTTTTCTAGTGATTACTATATGATTCTTTCAGCACAGAAATAGAGCAACTTGCAACAGAACATTTAACTTCACAATCATCAACTTCCAGTGCACACTTAGGGTTCGCCAAAACTGACTGTGATTCTGAGCCAATACTACTGCTTAACCCAACCTCCCTTGAGGGTTGTGGGTGGAGGGGAATGGAAGAAAGACTGCTATGCTAGCTCCCATGAGCTCTTATAGGAAAATTAGGACTCTTATAAATAAAAGAATAAATAAGATTGTGGCATTGCTTAGCAAAGAAAAAAAAAGTAACCTGATAAGGAGAAATCATTTTAAAATCTCTGGAATGAACACGGCATTTAATGATTGATCTTAATACATTTTTTTCCATTTCCAAGTTTTTGATTAGCTGTATTAATTAATTTGCAATAAACTGTCTAATATAAGAGTGATGTACCATATAATGCATATAAATACCCACTTTCAGTTCTCTGTAGTCATAGGCATACAAAGAAATAAGCTACATTGAACACAGTAGTGCTTACTTCTGTGTAAGTGTGTATAAGAATGATAAGGAGGAATGGACTCAATAGCATTCCCATTTTTCTCTGGCTGGTGAGTAAACATAGATGAGAGAATTTCTTAACCCCAAAATGATTTTGATTTTAGAGCATATTTTCTAACAACCTCTCTTAACAGCAATTATTAGCATTCTTGTTTTTCTATATTTTAGCAGAATATGGAGTTTTCCTTTTATAGCCAAACTTATTCTTTAAAAAAATATTCCTATTTAAAACTATTATAATTTGCAGCTTTGAAAATACTGATTTGCCATAAAATTCCCTGAAAAGGTGCATAACTATTTTGCAATATAAGCTGGTTTCAGGCTTCCAGACTAAGTAACATGGCAAAAACATTTTCTGAAGTGCCATATAGTCTTGAAGAAAATAACTCTAGTTCAAAAGGGAACTTCAGAAGCAATTCTGAAACTTTATATAAATGCACATCATTAATGTCTGTGGTTGGACAACAAATGGAGCTTCTTTGGCCAGGTTTCCCAGTTGATATGGTGAGCTGTGTTCTCTGCAAATTATTCTTGTCTCCAAACAAGGCATCATCATTAATTTCCCTTGAAATGTTTATTCCATCAATAACCCACTAAAATCCAAATAGAAAAGCTTACACTCAGGGACATCCCATGTGGCCAGTCGTGTGTCAAAATTTCTTATCATGTATCTGTGATATTTTTCTACATTTATGTGAATTTGGGTTTCTTTCATAAGACGCTTAGCAGTCTTGTGTCATGGTTTTTCAGTTCATGTGCCAAGTCCTTGATATGGAACATCCATTAATTTTATGTTTGATTTTTTTTTCACTTTCCTGTGTAATAATTGAAAATGTAAAAGTGTTCATATTTTTCTGATTTTTATTTTTATTTTTTTACAGATCAAGGGATCAATATTTATAGAAAACCACCCATCTACAAACAGCATGGTAAACTTTATTCTTTCTGTCTTCAAAATTGGATAATCAAATGATTTAATACTTACATGAACAATAAAATTCTTTTGTACGTAATGTTAATACAACACTAATTGATTGTTGCTTACTTTTAAAGTTAATATATATTTCTTTTTTCTTTTCTTTCTTTGTGTTGAGGTAAATAAAATAGATTTAAATGAGGTAGGTTACATAATATGCCTCTCTGTTTTAGCTTGCCATTTGCTACAGCAGATGAATTCATTATCATTATTTCTTTACACAGGACCCCCTTTGACATAATAATGTATGTTGGTGTTCATTTCAATATTTCAAACTGGCTTATTTATTTTTTTAATGATAATTTTAAGAGGTTGTTTTTAAACCAATCCCAGAAACTGAAAATGTCTGATTGCCACAATAAAATCTGTGTAGCAGGCATAGGGTTGACTTACAATGAGTGACCTACAATCAGTTATTAAGCTCTGGTTAAACAGAACCAAACTTGGTCCAACAATTTGATCTCTATATTAGCTTGATTTTTGTATTTCTAGAAATGGTTATGGTCAGTTAATAATATTTGAAGAGATAATCTTAGCCAAAACAGGCTGAGGCTAATTCGGAAGTGTTTACTGCACACACATTTCCTTGCTATTGGAGTTTTTATTGCTATATTTCTAATGAAATTTTTGTTTAATTTAAATTTATTTTATTGCCACCCATTCCTGAAGATTTTTGACCCCAAGGACCATATTTGTTGCCAATTTGGAGACCACATGAACCAATTCTCTTAAAAAGTGTGGTTCTCCTTTCTGAACTCTCATCTCTTAACTTCATCTGGTCAAACAGACTACCTGAGAAAACAAACCAGTTCAAAAAGACGTTGAACTAGTTTCAGAACCATTCCTGTGATTTGAGGGAGTGTATGCAATGGAAGAAGCGTTGGCAAAATGACCAGTTCTCGGCCAAATTTATTTTCTTCTGTCCCTACTGTGTCTTGCTGTGCTTGATCTAATTTAAAGTGTAACTAATAAGAATCTCTGCTAAGTTAAAGCTAAGCACCAACTCACAAAAGGCAATATATTTGTACATATGCAAAGTATAGGAATAGCTATATACACCAAGATATCCTTATAAGAAATAAACATAGAGTAATTCAACAAAGGATTTTGCATGCTTTTCTTTTAGAAAAAAGAATATATTTTTATTAGAAAATCATATGTAATTGAAAACCTAAAATACCTAATCTAGCTTTATTCTAAGTAAATGAAAGAAAGATATAGCCTTCTAACTCACAAGGAGCCTTGTATGATACCATACCTACAGTAGTGGGTTTCAATTTAGTTTGCTACTGGTTCGCTCGCAGAAGCACGCTCGTGACGCTTCTATGCATGCTCAGAGATGTCCTGGCAGGTGGGCAGAGCCTCCCGCCGTGGCTCCTACGATTCACCCGATCCAGGGCAAACTGGTAGCAACCCACCACTGCATATCTAGTATGGTATTCCATTACCAGAATTGAGAGATAGAGAACAAAAATGAGAGTCCTGAAATATCGGTCTAATCAGTTATAGACATGGTATTTAATGCCCAAAAGGGAATGACCAAAATGAAGTTCCATGTAAAGATTAAAGGCAAATCAAATTCCTCAAAAAATAAAGACCATCCCAGAACATAGAATACAACAAGATTAGTTTGCTTAAGCACAAATATTGATCATTATGTTTCATTTATATTACAGTGTCATATTATTTTAAAATTTTAACCCTGTCATTTCACCTTTTCTTAATGTTATTTTTATTTCTTTATGATTTTATTGTGTCATCTCATCTCCCATTTACTTGTGAATATTTTACCACTGAATTCATCCATTTCAATATGTAAGTATTGTTTGAAATCGTGCCTTTGTAGTGTCAAACAATGAGCCAAGGTAGCTGTTTTTTATCCATTAGAACTAGATTGGACAGTAGCTCTGTGTGCATGGCATACATGAAACCTAGAAGGGAAAAAATGAAAACATGCTTGCAATTCATGTTTGAGGTTCATCATTTAGCACATCATGGCTGCAAAGAAATGGAAGTAGAAGTCTTGATGTCCCAGAAGTCAAGATTCCAAAATAACCAGGAATTTTGTTTCTCTTGCAATACAGCTTCTTCTTTGCAGCCATTTCAACAAATATGCAAATGGTCAGCAACATGCACAATTGAAACATAGTGGGGCTTTGAAGAGAAAGTTCAGTGGAAAAAATAATTATTCACTAACAAGACAACAACACTCCCACAATCCTATACAATAATGCTCATTTTAATTTGTTTTTTGAACATGTCTTAATTTTTCACAGATGGTGAAAAAAAAATGGTAAAAGTCCAGCAGAGTTGCGGACGCTATATTTTGAATTGGTTGCTATTATTGCTATTTTTCATGTTTTTAAAAGTCCATTTATTTATTTGCCTTGGATATGAATCTCTGTAATGAGAAGGGGCTGGTGGTATTTTAAAAGTGTCTGATAGAGAGGCTAGGGCTAGGCAAAGCTTCCCATCCTCTTGTTAAAGCTTGTTTATAAAGCATAGCATTGAAGTAGCACATTTTTTTGCAATAGATTAAAAAGCTTTATTCACTTTAACAGACATACTAACTTGATTGTTTTAATTAGTTTAATATATTCAAGTGCTACAAATCATTTCTGATGCAAGTATGCCTCCAGAGATCTTGCTTACACATTCAAAAAAGATCTCTGTGTTTTAAATCTCTGACATCTGAAAAGATGTTGATTTATCATTTTTTAAATCCCATTTGTTCCCATATGATGGAACTATTCTATTTTTAGTTTTATTTGCTCAGATGCTTTTTATCTTTTTTTCCCCACATACTTCTTGCATATTACAATTAACAAGTGTTAGAAGATTGATTAAACTTTTAGCATTTTTTTTCAATATTGTGCATTGAATATATCAAGTAGTCCTCAATTTATGACCACGATTAGGAATTTAGGTCGCTAAGAAATGCAGTCATTAGATGGGTCGCACCTAATTTTGTTACCTTATTTGCCATGGTTGTTAAGCAAATCACCATAGTCATTAAGCAAATCTGGCTTTTCCCATTGACTTTGCTTGTTGGAAGCCTCCTGTGAAGGTCACAAATCCAATGATCCTGGGATACTGTAAATACATGCAGTTGCTAAGTGCCCAAATTTTGATTGTGTGTGTATGGAGACACTGCAGTGGTTGTTAGTATAACGGTCAGTTGTAAGTCACTTTTTCCAGTACTGTCATAATTTAACGACATTAAACAAATTGCCATAAATTGAGCACTACCTGTATAGCAACAACAATATGCTGAGCTTACCACGGTTGAGTTTCATCTCATGGTGATGCTCCTTTATAGATAGTCACAGCCCAACTTCATCTTTAGTGTCTTGCTTTTGAACTATTTTGAATGATATTTGTGTTGTTTGAATGAATCCTGAGATATAAAAAGTTAAAATGACAATACATAGGCAAATGCTGATATAAATTTTAGAAGTTCTCACTGAACATTTTCAGCAGAATAAATGAAATTCATTATTTTTCAGTTATGTATCTATAGTTCCAGATTTATCAACAAATGTTTATTAATTAGTTGATAAAGAAATGACATAGAAAGGATGAATATACTGTTATATTCCCTACACACAGGAAAAATGCTGTTATTGTCATTATTATTATACTAAAAAGCTGCTACGTAGAGCTTCTGTTATTCCAGGAAACTTACATATTGCCAACCATTCAAAGCTGTATACAGACTTAGCATTAATTGGACTGAAATTGCCAATGTTCTCTACTTGACTCCGCTTAGGGATATCTATTTTTCTGAATTCGTTGGAGATGTTAGCTCTACACATTGGAAATTGCGACTATTTTAAATGTGCCTTTACAGGTAGTCCTTGACTTATAAATGCAATTGTAATCAGAATTTCAATTGCTAAATGACATGATCATTAAACAAGTTACCATGTGACCATACCCAATTTTATGACCATTTTTACCATGGTTGTTAAGTGAACCACTGTGGTCATTACATAAATCGCATGGTCATTACATGGGTCACACCATTATTAAGTGAATCCAATTTCCCTCATTGAGTTTATTTCTTGGAAGCCAATTGGTCACAAATAGCAATCACATGAATACAGAACACTGCAACTGTTGTAAATGCAAGCTAGTAAATGTGACCATGGGAATATTGCAGTGGCTGAAACTTCAAGAAGGGATAGTCAGTCACTTTCAGTGCCATCATAACATCAAACTGCTTTTACCTGAATGGTCAAAAGTCAGTGTCTAAGGAGATTCTCAGTCATCCAGGTCATGGTTGTCCCAAACGTGTCTTTTCAAGAGGCAGCTAGACTTTCTGTTTTTTTTTCCTTGAAGACATTTCACTTCTCATCCAGAAGATTCTTGGATCAGAAGCAAAACGTCTTCAAGGAAAAAAAAACAGAAAGTCCAGTTGCCGCTTGAAAAAGCAACTTTGGGTCAAAAGTCAATTCAGCTGAAATGGGGAGGAGGAGTTAAGAGATTAGCTAGCCTGGAATCCCCGAAGCAGATGGGCAGTGACCCCTGCTAAACCCTAGAGAATTTATCTAGTTCTATAGACTGCAGATAATCTGGCAAGATTCTTGTAGATAGGTGAGTGATAATAAACATACCGCTCTGATCAACTTTCAGTGTCCCTGTGGTCTCTAGTACCTCACAGGTAACTATATTTTAAATAGGTAGGATTGAAATCACAACTGGACAAACTTTCTCTATTTTGTTAGGAGCTATATTCCCACATGGGTAATTTGTCAGGAGCCTAATTTTGCTAGGGACTCCACTTTTTCCCTGTACTTACATGTTCCCTTATATGCTGCCCTACATGGTATTGTGAATGACTATTTTGTTTCTGCCAAAGAATATTTTATGTAAATGAATAAACATGTTTTATGAATGAAACAAAACATGAGGGCCAAGCAAGATTTATGGCAGAATCAGCTTTTGAATTATGGACCTCATTTACATTGAGTAGGAGGAAATGAGGCTTAGTCCAGAAGAGAAATGCCCCTTTGGTTCTTGTGTTAATGCTTTATTTGTATGCACCATATAATTGAAGTTCTTAGGAATGTCAGGAATTTACATATTATGGAAATTGGGACTTTGTTACTAAAAGAGAATGTGAAAAATATGATTGTAAGAGAATTTGGAATACAATAGAACCATAGCACGAATCTAGGCCATAATAAAGCAATTTAATTGGCTAGTTTTAAGTTCCCCTAATTACCATCTAGATGCAGCTGCTCTGGCAGCCCAGAACAAGCCTTTCGATGATATCATCAAGTCCTCCAAGTTCCCAGCAGCCCATGCTCCAGCACCCAACGAGATTCCAAAGATTGAGACAGAATACTGGCCAGGTCCTCCCTCACTTGCGGCTGTAGGTATGAAACAAGTGATGTGGGTGAAAACCCATGCACAGCTTTCTGCTATCCATAAGTACACTGAGGCGGCTATGAATACTGCAAAGCTTCTGATAAGGGCGTTGAACTTTTTTGCACTGACCGCTTGATCTCCTAGGAGAGTTATGCTAAGTATCTAGTTAATATTGGGGTTGGGGGGGGGAAGCGTTACAAACTTTATAGGATTTGATGGCATCAGAATCTCAGTCCCCAAAGTTTACATCACAGAGGACGAGATACTTTAAGAATCTTCTCATTAGAAGTCCGTTTCTCTGGAAGGATTCCCCAGAATCTTTAAGGTTTTAGCACAGAAGCTTTTAAAAAAAACAAAAAAAACACAAAGGTACTATCAAAGTGTGTGTAGTGCTTCTTGGTTACAACTGTTCACCAGAGTTGAGATTTGGTACCAACATTTACTTATTCCTTTACTTGTCTGACTCACCTACTTGCTTTCTCCTGGCATAAACAGATATTATTCCCTCAGGATATTCATAGAGTGAAGCAGCCAGGTCAGCTTACAAATGCATTATACCTTCTCATGCATTGTTCTGTACACCTTCTGCTTCATTCAAGCAAGCCAGCAATGATAAACCATGAGCTATGAATGCTGACATTGGAAGACAGAGTTCAGTGAATTCCTTAACCCATTTTGTTGCCTTCAGAAAAGCCAGCCAGCCAATATTGAAGTACAAGTCCACGGCCAGTCCAGCCCTCTTCTGTTCTTTGAATGGGTGTGCGGTGTAGTCATTGCCACATGTTAAAACCAGGCTCTTTTGGCTTGTTGTTGGACAGCATGAATAATAGCAAAGCTTATATGGCCCCATTGCATCATTTTTGTGCCTTAAAGTTCTTAACTTTGTTTTCCATTCTGTGTTTCATTTTTCTAAGTATTATTTTTAGACCCCATATATTCCATGATACATTCTTTAAGTTTGATCACTCAGAGTTGGTTCCTACCTGTATAAACCAAAAATGATTCAAGTTGAGATTAAGGAATTCAAAATGAGGTTATTTTGATGGACCAAATTCATTGGTTCTTCTGCTAGAATTAAATATCAACTTCATGCAAGAAAAAGATAACATTTAGTGGTGACATTTTACTTTCATAGTATTTATTATAAATCTGAATATTTAAATATGGGTTAGGTTAGAGCATATTAAGGCTTTATACTATAACTGAGGACAAAACTATTACATAGGGCTGATTTTTCTTCTTCTATTCAATTGTGTTCAATTCTTGGAGACTGCCAGTTTTCTTGGCAAGATCTTTGAGAAGTGGTTTGCAATTGCTTTCTTCCTAGGGCTGAGAAAAAATGACCGGCTCAAGGTCACCCAGTTGTCTTCATATATAAGGCAGAACCAGAACTCACAGTGTGCCAATTTCTAATCTGATGCCTTAATCACTACACCAGACTGAGTTTCATTACCATTTATTTACATTAGTTAAATTTATAATGGAGTAGTACAGAGAGTAGTATCAAAATGATAAAGGGTGATTAAAAATTATTATCTGCGGTGTGCATCTTACCATTAGTTTGTCTTAGGATCAGATTTGGGATGTCACAAAAGCAAAGTATGTGCATGATTATTTAAATTACTATTTTTTTAAAAAAAAAATCCAAAGATGATAAAAAGCCAGTTGTAGAATCTTCCACCTTTTATGTCACAGTAATTTGATTGAGTTTGAAATTAGAATAAGTTGAGACCAGTTGCTGCTCCTTGTCATATAGCACATTATACTAAATTGACCAACTTTGACCACAGTTTAGTATGTGAAGTTAGTACAGTTATTGTGAAAGGTCGAGATTGTTAAAATCATATATTGATTTTACTATAACTAAAAGTAAGAGGAATTATATCAGCAACTAAGGATTTATGGTTCTCAAAAAGAAAAGGAATAGGTTAACCTCTAAACCCTCAGACTAATTTAGAATTTGAGACTGAACATACTTTAGTTCCTAAAATATTTTTAACAAAGCTATTAAAATAGGATTTTTAATAAACAAAGTAATAAAATACTGTGGGCCAAATTATGATTCTAATATTGGAAATACAATGAGTTAAACAGCTGTGACAAAAGTCTTCACATTCCCCTTAACAAAATAGTCAATATTAATCAGAATGTTACTAATTATGTTTTATACTCTGTAAAACTCTCAGTATGTAACATTATGCACTTAATCTTCAAAATGGTTTTATTTAATGTATTATTTAATTCAGAACCAGATTATCTTATTAACATATTTTGAGACAGAATTGGTGGATTATTTATGTATTTACTTAAGTATTTAGTTAATTTCTTCAACAACCAACTCAGAGGAAATAGGTTGATTCTCACTTCTTATACCTATACTTGAAATAAGTGGTTCTTTTTACTGTGGCTTATGGAAGTAGGATTTGATATGCGACGCCGATCCACTGGCAGAGATGAAGACCTTGAAGAACTTCAGAGGCGTCGGCAGCTGCAGGAGGAACAGTTAATGAAGGTGGCTATCATCTGAATGTAAATTCTCTGTGCCAAAATCTGCATGATATGAATCTTTTCACTAGCTTACTTTTTCCTCAAAATTTTCATTTGCAGCTGAACTCAGGCCTGGGGCAATTGATACTAAAAGAAGAGATGGAAAAGGAAAAGTCACTACTTGCCAGCAGATGTTACGATTCTCCAGTTAATTCATGTAAGCAACAAAATTAGAAAAAACATAAAGGATTATGGGACATGATGAACTAGGATACACTTCTCTACTGTATTCACATAGCTGACAGTTGAGCTAATTGACTTCAGTGAGATTTAGTTTTTAATAGACCTTTATTAGAGTTGTACTGTAAAAAGTTGATATTAAGACTGGTTCTCATCTAATTATTGCAGTTCAGTTTCTGATAATGCAAAAATGTGACCTCTAAATAATAATAAGAAAGTAGTTTTTCCTCTAATGTGTTTACTGCCTACATTATAACTCTAGCTATTTCTCACAATGTATTAACAGATATTTTAAAATGAAGAAAGATTCCAAATGCACATTTCTCAGCATCTACTGAACAAATCCAGAAAAAAAAAATACCTAAAAAACCCTGCTCCAAGTATAGTTACAATTACAAGAAAACTGTTTCGAAGCTCTAGGAAATCAAAATGTATTTTAATTTAAGATGGAATTTTGTAAACTTAAAAGTTAATAATTTTTCTGCTAAATGTTTGAGGATTACAATTGTCTTTTTCTGTAGGAAACTAAAATTGGCCACAACTCCGAAACTTTATCCTACAGTGTTTATACAGAATATAGATAAGTAGGTCACAATGCTGATTTCTTGAAAAGCACATCTGTATTACCGGTAGCTTCTAAAATAATATAAAAATCTTGTGGTATATAGTGACTTCAAATAAATACCTCTTTAAACTAGAACTAAATTCTGATTTAGAGCCTTGGTGGCGCAGTGGACTAAACTGCTGCTGTTAAAGTAGTACTTAGCTGCCAGCTGCCTGCAATTACTGCAAGTTCAATTCTCACCAGGCTCAAGGTTTACTCAGTCTTCCATCCTTTTGAGGTAGGTAAAATGAGGATCCAGTTTGTGGGGGCAATAAGCTGACTTTGTATAAAAAAGAACACCGCTTAGGGGGGCCCAAAAAGCCCTACTAAGCAGGTATATACAAAAGTATGAAGGTGAAGGAATATATCATAAGTAGAATTGTAGAATGTTACTCTGAAAAAATGCTTAAGAAGAAATTATACTCTTTTTGTGTGTATGTTGTATAAATGTTCGTTGTGTATATGTTACGTATGTCTTTTTTAATATTTATATTCAATAAAAACTACTTAAAAAAAAAAGTATGAAGGCTATTGCTTAATGCATTGTAAGCCGCCCTGAGTCTCCGGAGAAGGACGGCATATATAAATTGAACTAATAAATAAATAAATAAATAAATAAATAAATAAATAAATAAATAAATACATACATACATACATACATACATACATACATACATACATACATACATAATTCCTGCTTTGATCATCTCGGATGAAAAGCTTTTATTGACTCAGTTTATAGGTAAAGTCTTTCCAGTTTTAACTAAATATATATTTGCTACCAATCAGAAGCTGTTTTTTCTGCATCATTCAGAGCTCTCATATGGATGTTTTGAAGAACATACATTCAACTTTCTCCATGTCTTTGAGATGGCCATAATTAGGGAACTGTTACAGGGAATTGTATAGTCATGGCAGACCTGCCTATGATAACTGCTTATGGTAACACATGTACTCACCATAACAGCTTTATATAATTAGGAGACTGATTATGTATTTATATGATGTATGCTGATGTTTGGGTCTCTTTTTAAAAACACAGGATTTTACCAGCTCTTCATATAAAATAAATAGTAATAATAATAATAATAGTAGACAGTATATGCATCTCATTTTAAAATGAACATTTAGTTTAGGGAGAAAAAACTATGTCACACTCTTATAATAGGCATCTTTATGAAAGGATTGCTCTCATGCAACTTATATGAGTATCTCTAAACACCCAATAAGTCAGTTCATAAAGAATGATTAAGAAAGCAACATTTGTCCTGTTGATTCTCATAGCCTTTTAGATGTTCCCACTTTAGAAGAGGAAATCAGCCTCAATGAGTAATGCAATGCATTCAAGCTACTAGGTCATAACAATATTATCAGACAGGTCTTTGGGGTTCACTGATGCGTTCCAAAGAAAAAGCAAAGATATAATTACTGTTTGCTTACAGGAATTTTGTGTATGATATGCATGCTTATGTGCATGTATTTTCATTATAATTTGGGTGGGGGTGCACCCTTTCCAGATCTCTAAAATATATTTTAGACATATTATGCCAGGAGACCCAGGGCCATGATAGTAACAAAACTAAAGGAGGACAAGAATGATTATAGCTTTCATTCTATCTGTCTGCATCAAATCACTTACTTCCAGACAACAATCTATAAAAATGATTCACTTCTGAGTATACAAATGTGTCTTTGTGTATGATTACAGAGAACAGTCTATTCAAGGCTAATCTGAGACATAAATTTAGCAGATTGCTTTAAACAAGCTACTCTTTTTTAACCTCAGACTCTGCCTCCAATTTGCACCATATGGAAACAATAGCAATCCTGGCTTGTAAATAACTACTGACAGAAGAGTATCATTTTGCTTGTTTGGTGTGCGCAAGAAAATAAATTAGGAGAAGAAAGTATGTTTTAAGCAATTTGAATCAAAGACTCAGAATTTGACATTATGTTGAACCATGACCATAAAGCATGACTAGCTAAAGATTGTTTCTGTGTAATATGTAGAGTGACTTGTAGACATCTATATTAGATAGGAATTGAAAATTTTACATCCAAATTTCACTTACTGGACAAAGTCAAGGTAAAATGATTGCTTAAAAAATTTCATACAGATGCAAATTTACACTTTCAGGATTTTTAATTGATTTCTAAGATGCTGTGATTTTGACGATGTATTTTTATTTCCTAATAATTATTGTTTTCTCCTTCTCAGCATTACATGCCGCTGCTTCTAAAACTTCTTCACTGCCTGGGTATGGACGAAATGGACTCCACAGGGTGAGCAGAGAATTCTTCCCATACAAGAAAATACACTTTAAATTTCAGTTTCTGTTGAGCTCCTAAGGAGCAAATAACTGAAACCATTTTTTGTTGCATAACACTAAAACTACAGTTCAATAAAGTTCTTTGGGATACGTATATTAAAAATACAATATAAATAAAAAATGGTCAAAACAATACAATTCAGAAATGTTAAAAATAAAAAATAAAATTAGAAGAATAAAATAGTAACATTATAGCAACAGTACAAAAATTTTACTTAGCAGTCACAATAGTTCTGCCTGTATTTCTTCCAGTCCGCCATATTTCTCGCTTCAAGTTGTATTGTTAGACTTTTTATGTGTGTTGTCAAGGAAAGCAGAAAAGGGCAGTTACCAAGGCCACTTCACCTGAGAGAGGGCTTAATCAAATGGATCTATATAAACCCAAAATGTCCAGATATTGTTTGAAACTGGCTCAGAAAATATATTATTCATTCACTGAATTATTAGTAGGAGGAGCAAATTAGACATGCAAGATTCTTTTATTACAACAAATCTCAATAAAAACAACCCCTGTGGGGCTGATTCTGTGGTCTAGTCTACTTAGAGGAACTGACAGTCACCCTTTTATTGACTCATTTATTTCAATGAGTAAATCCAGTGAGGGAAAAATATTGACATATGGACATAAGATGTGAAAAGAAATAAGAGATTCAACTAAATATTCTTCCCTCCCTCTAATCTATCAAGACTCCTTAAAAAAGGAGTACCTTCGAAACCGTCTTCTGTCACCAATAGCCTCCCACCGACCAGTCCGTTCCCACAGAGAGGGTCTCCTCAGAGTGCCATCAGCCAAGTTATGTCGGCTGGCGACACCCAGGGGGAGGGCCTTCTCTGTGGGAGCCCCAGCCCTGTGGAATGAACTTCCCCCAGAAATACGTAAGATCTCCGACCTCCGGGTGTTTCGCTGCGCACTGAAGACCCTGTTGTTCCTCCAGGCAGGGCTATCAACATAATAATTTTAAATTGGGGTATTTTAATTTTGGGGGTTTTAAATCGGCCAAATCTATTTACTTATTTTAATTTTTAATCATTGTTGTGTCCTGTGTTTTTAAATTGGCTGTACACTGCCCTGAGTCCTTCGGGAGAAGGGCGGTATAGAAATAAAATTATTATTATTATTATTATTATTATTATTATTATTATTATTATTATTATTATTATTATTATTTCTGTTGTTTCTTTTTCACCCTTCTTGGGGTGGGAGAGAGGGAGTGGAGATTTGTGTCTGCTATCTCCATCGCTTCACTTTTTAGTATTTAGATCATTGGTTCTGGTTCTTTATAAAAAAAAAAAGAATTGAATTTAATACATCATCTGAACATCTTGGGCTATGTACATTCTTTAGGAAAAGCTGTTCCCCCAAAGTATATAAAGAAAATCTCCAGAAGTCAGATAGGAAAACGAAGAATGATGATCCAATGTTACATAATCTGTCTATTCAACTGTTGGTGGATTTTATCATAAATATTATTTATCTATGGAAACTATGTGATAATTACAAAACAGTTTAATTTGTGCATATCTTTCACTAGTATCCAGATAAAACTAGTACAAGAGATTCTGGCTCCATAGGCAGAAGTATGACAAATCTAAAGTTGCTCCTCTCAAGGAAAGGTGTAGCGATAAATTATTGATAAAAGTGAATGTGCTCTTTATACCTTCAGTATACATACTACATATAGCTTTATAGGTATAAAGTACAATAACATTACTCCTCTACCACTGTCAGTTTTATATGCACTTTTTGTGAATGTCATGGATGCTCCCAGATAAGAGGCAGTTTGGTCTGGTTAAAGCACCAAGCTAGAAATCAGGAGACTGAGTTCTAGTGTTGCCTTAGCAATGAAAGCTTCTGAGTGACTTTGGACCAATCAACTCTGTCAGCCCAACCCACCTCACAGGGTTGTTGGTATGAGAAAAAGAGGAGAAGAAAGGAGTATTGGGTATGTTTGCTGCCTTGAGTTATTTATAAAAATAATAAGGTGGGGGGAGTTAAAAATAAATGAATGTGCTATTCTCATGTTTTACATGGCCTTTGTCGTGATCTTTTTACTGTCATTCAATGTACAGATAGTGTGATTTACCTGTTCATGTTTTTATTTATATATATACATATAGCCGATGTCCACAGACTTTGGTCAGTACAACAGTTATGGGGATGTGAGCAATACAACTCGAGGTAAGTTTGTAAAGGAAATAGAATGTGAGGTTTGGGCTGGAGATCGTTTTTGAATTATTTTCAGCATTTATGCTTTCTGTTGTGTTTTTATAGTAGTACATAAGGTCATCTCTCACATACAGCTTTTGGATACCATACTTAATCTTGAAATATAGCTACACTTGCCATTTGTTGAAAAAAGGGTGGAGAGGATGGTTCAACATTATATTCAAACTGAAGATGACATTGTAAAAATAAATTTTAAATTTAATGAAGGCAGAAAATATATGTATTTTGGGTTGATAATTTTTAGGAAAGGCTCTGAATTTAAAACTTTTGTTCAGAATAAATCTTATCCTAATTATGTGTCTTTTCTCAATATATATCCCTTTTCAGATTACCAGGTTGGTAAAGATTTTCGTCCATGAAGTTAAAAGAAACAAATTCATCAACAGTGCATCAACTATGTTATTCCCATCTTAGAAGAATTTCTTAAAAGTTGTTAATCTGCTTGTTTTATTATTAATGATATAATTATGACACTATGGGAAAGAGTGTTTTACTGTCAGTTTTGTGATTTGTTACAGCAAACATTTCTAAGATTGTAAAAGAAGCAATGAGTGATAGTTCTCTCATTGATGGATTTCTCCCAATCTCTTTGTTACTATCCAAAGAAAGTCCAAATATAATTCTGCTTATTCTGTAGTTATACCTTTGGTCTTCTTCTCCAGATGGTTTCCTGTCTTCTTTATATTTTATTGTGGTCATGGAGTAAAAATCGGCCAAATGGCAGTATAAAATGGCCAATTAAAAATGTAGTGTTATTTTTTAAACATAACCCTTCTCTTTACATGTTTGAATATTACTATGTTATGGAAATCTCAGAAAAGACTTTATTGATGTAGAAGGAATTACAAATTTTACTTGTTAAAAAGGATAAAATGCTTTGGTACAACTGGAAAGCAACTAAATATTGTAAAAATGGTAGCAAGAACTAAAACAATGAATCACTCTGTGAATGGTAGTTTTCCTACCATTCCTCATTCCCTGAATAATGGGGTATGAATATTCTAGGTAAGCAGAAGGAAGTATATTTTTAAAGAAGTTAGGCCCTAAATATAGAATATTTGACATTTTTAGAACTGATACAGTAGTTTATGTTTCTTGTGACCAAAATGTTATCTTATTTTGTCAATTGGTCTTTGGGAAGAGTCCCTGAGAAGCTTCATAATTGAAAGAGACAATCATGAATAAAGGCCACTTAAATTAGGAGCCACATCTTTTTGTATAGTATATATAGGGCATAATTATATCTGTTATACATATTTCTCTGGAACCTTACTATATGTTCATGTGCATACACAGCATGAATACCTTTACTCTATTTGTGGGTTTGTGTGGATAAGGATGTAATCTATGTATTTGATACCTACATGCTTCTGATACAGTTTCACCCAGATGGTCCCGTCCCTGGAATGCGAATGGACCGAGGAGTGTCTATGCCTAACATGTTGGAACCAAAGGCAAGTGCTGATCTTATTCATTGTGCTTCACAACAATGAAGGGTAATTTTTGGAATGACAGCATTAAAAATGTTGTGGCATCCACCTTTTAATTTGTTTATATATATGACACTCCTCTCTTTTTCAGGGCAATAGGACATCCCCCTTTATTTGAAGTTAGCACATAGGTTAAGGGATTTAATATATAGGAAATTAGACAGCAGTATTCTAGGTGGACCTAAACAAATAGACATTAACAATCATGTGAAATGAGTTAGACCTGCTAGTAATGTGACAGCATTAATTGGAATAAATGAGTAGAATGCAGCGGGGATGAATTAATTCTTGGTTGTGCTGCATGCACAAAATAAAATGGAAATCAAAGCAGATGTTCTGATTGCAGTCCCATTGTATACATCTTTATTCAGAGGTAAATCCTAGTAATTCAATGAGATTTATTCCCAGAGTCACATGATTTAAGAATAGGATCTCAAAAGCAATCCAAAGTGTGTGTGCAGGAAAGGGTTGATTTCAAAACCAGACTAATTAGGGTTGTGCATTTTCTTTTGCTTATAACACTAAAAGAATGCAGGAATTGCTAATTGTCTCTGTATATCTCATTATTTTTGATGTAGTATAAAAAAGGGGAAGGAGACAATTTTAAGATGTGAAGAGAAACAAGTTTGAACTGAGATATACACAGTGAGAAAGAATCACATCCCTTATTCTCTCTTTCTCTCCCCTACTCCACACAAAACTACAGTGACATAAATAAAAAAGCAGATACATATATAGATATTCATGGCCGTTTACCCTTAGTGTTTTTCAGACAGTCTTTCTGGAAACTCTTCTTTGTTGTTCATTAATTTTCTTGGTCACTGATACAAGATATCTGGTTAGTTCTTAAGAAATATGCTCAGAACGTATAATAATGTCCTGGTCATTGTGGTTTTAACATATGCAGCCCTAATTTGGGATTGTAGAGACATGGGAAAATTAAAGCTTATCTCTGAGTATATTTAGTTGAAATCTTCAGAAGCTGTAAATACAAGTCATCCACTGTCACACTGAGTTCACCCAACATCTGACTTCAAAAAAAATAAGCCAAATCCAGACAAATCACATTCTGGTTTTGCACAATATGTGAATGCAGCCTTACAGAGGCTTTTTTTATATAATACTGATTTTTAGTTTCTGACATTTATTTTGTTAAAGCTCAAGGTTCCTGCACAAGATGCTTGCACTATCACATATAACTAGCTTAATGGGTGTGTGTGGTATGATTACTAAATGGGTATGTAGGAAAGTAACTTTAGTTTAACTTAAAAAGAGAAATGGACAGGTCAAATATAGGCAAACGGCCAATGAATTAACTTTTTAGCAAAGTGTTTGCTTCTGAGCACATATGCCAAGAAAATAAAGGCAAACCCATGGTGATCTGTAAAGTAAGAAGATAGTAAGCATTATCCATAAGCTTATCAAGGACGGAGGGAGGGAGGGAGGGAAGGAGGGAGGGACAGAGAGAGACAGAGAGACAGAGAGAACATAGATGGGGGGCATCTTTATAATTATGAGACTTCATTGTTCAGTAACAAATATTCCAAGGAAGCCATGTAATGAACTTGCAGCTGTCTTTTGACAATGACCACATTATACTTGTGAATTTGATGTCTATTTGTGGCATTTAATAAATTCTACATAAAGGCCTCTTCTATACGGTTAACAGATATTTCCTTACGAAGTACTCATGGTGACCAACAGAGGGCGAAATAAAATTCTAAGACAAGTGGATAGAACCAGGTTGGAGGTAAGAACCAGGTGTCGGGTTTGGCATTAGAAGAAAGTTTTGAAATTATATGGATTGCTGGTTACTCATAACCTTACAAGATAGTGCATTTATCTGAACTAACTGCTTTATACATACAAAGATAACTAATACACCAATCCATGCAAGCCTGCTCAGAAATAAGCTTCACTGAGTTGAGTTATCCTTTCTAAAGTAAATATGTATAGAATTGGAACCACATGTATCATAGTGTACAGCCACATTTTTCTCAAGGTTATACTCTAGTTGTAGAACTGTTTTCAATCACATGACATAATGATGACACCAGAGTATATAGGGCCCAATTATTTAGTGTCCCCCACCAGCAACCTAATGCATCAGATTTAAGCCAGCTAATTTTGGCATTGATTCTGGAGAAAATATTAATGGGATTGCAAGCTATATACCTCTGCTATATAGAAATACTTTGCCTTTCATGCCCATAATAGGGATCAGCTAAAGGTATAAGATATCTATCTTTTTAAAGAAAAATGTGCAGGCATATTCCTAGAAATAAAACCTGGTTAACTGATTTATTTCATCAAACTCCACCTATACCCGAAATGTTCCAGTTTAAGTTTCACTCTCTTCCATTGCCAAATACAAGGTTTTAATACAGCCCTTGTGTGTATACAGTAGTGGCCAAAACTGTGGGAAAAAAGTGTCTTTTTGATGTTTGATGACTAATAACACCACTTTTTTTTTAGTAGTACCATAAAATTATATATCAATGGAAAGATAATTTAATCAAGAATGTAATGCAACAAAGTCTGTCAATTATCTGTATTCTATGAAAAGTTATAGCCAAATAACCAGAACAAGGAAGCATAACTTGCTTAGGTTGATATCAGGTAGCTTTCCTTCATCTGATTGTAGCCAATAAGCATGAGTGTTTAGAGAGCCAATCAGGTGTCATCTTGTTTTGGCAATGAGCCAATCAGATCACAGTAGGATTCAGTTATTGATGTCATATATTGAAGCTAAGGAGAAAATTTGTCAGTGTGTTATGTGAACATTATCAAGTTGGTTTTTTTTTTTTTGTGTGTTCTTTCATTTAGTGAGCTTATACAATGTAATAAAATTAAAGTAATGGTGCAAAGAGTTGACTGGTCGCCCAGAAAGTGATGTAAAATAGTATTATTAAGTGAACAAGGCTACAGTTATAAAGGAATTAGAAGAAAAATTGGTGGAAACTTAACCAAAGGTGGCATTTCTAAGTGTTTGAAGAAGTATAAGGAGACTCAGTCACTACAAAACCACACTGGTAAAGGCAGGAAAAGATGCACAATAGCAAATGATGATAGAAGAATTAAAAGACTGTGCCTACATGACAGAAGAAAATCATCTGGGTGTATACAAGATGAAATGGCACAATGCAATGTGAAGTTGAGGGCAAGGACTGTTTAGTGCAGATTGCAGGAATTTGGCCTAAAATCTAGAATTCCACGAAAAAAGCTACTTTTATCTCTCAAACAAAGGTTGAAAAGCATTACATTCTTGATTAAATTATCTTTCCATTGATACATAATTGTATGGTACTAGTCTAAAAAAAAGTGGCATTATTAGCCATCAAATCGCAAAAATACACTTTTCCCAAAAGATTTCCACAATTTTGGCCACTACTATAGCTGCATATACTAGATTTTCTTTATGCAGATGTCACCACAGCAGCATTGTCAGGCTGCTCATGTATTGAGTCTTCCAGATATTGAACATCTCAACGGGAATGTAGTCTCAAGACCTCTGGAGGGCACTTGGTAGGGAAAGACTACCTTGAGCTAGACAAGCAACTGCTCAATCTCTAAATTGTTTGCTGTGTTATCTATTGCAATACTTGACTATCATTCCTATTGGCTAGAAATTATGGTTTCCATCTCATTACTTAAAATCCCTGAAGAGTAAAATAAACGGGAGGCGGGACTTATTCTAATATTAGATGCTTTGGTAGCCAAAAGATAAAAAGCCAAAAAGGCCAAATGGTGCTTGCTATAGGACACTGGCCTTATCCATTGCTCAGGACTTTATATTACACCTGGTATATTAGATCTACTATGTTGAGAGTAATGCTGTGATATTTAGATTGCCTGTTTCTACTTCTTGAGTGATAATATACTTCTGCCTTGTCTTTCTTTAGCGTCATTTAGCACCTGAAGTTTTTCAAGAAATATTTGGCATGACAATACAGGAATTTGATAAGTTACCTCTCTGGAGACGCAACGATATGAAGAAGAAAGCCAAACTCTTCTGAATTCTTCTTTCTTGGGAGAGGGAAGATATCATGTAATAGGATAATGTATTATAATCGAGTCCAAACCCTCTTTGGACGGCAAACAGTCAAGAAGGTGGGGAGGAGAGAAGGGACAATCTGAGAAAGGCACATGCTAATGCCGTGAGATTGTGCAATGGCCTGTCAAGCTTGCCATAGGCAGAGACATGAAAGGTTCTTTGTTCAAAACTCAGTCATGGTTTTCACTCATGAAGTTTTTATATGGCATATATATTCAGTCTTCTGCCTTCCTCATTTTCCCTTGACTTTCATTCAAAGGTTGAGGACACTAATTGAGAAAACCCAGGAAGTGCCCGTAGGATGCCAGCTCACAATTGTGTGGTCATGGTCTTTCCAAGCAATGAATGAATATATTCTATAGTTAAGTAAGGAGTCCTGTGTAATATATTTATCCTCTGGGCACAGCTATTACAGTTAATTGGCCTTATTGTCAAACGGCTTATTTTTTCCGCAGTACCCATCAATAAAATAGGCTGCTGAACAGAGGTATTCTGCTGTGCTGCATACTAGCCATTTTTTTTTAAAACAAGCTCCCAGCACTTGCACATATCTGGTAGTAAATTGCCAGGTTTTGTTGTTGAAACTCTTTGTTCCTCCATCTTTTCCTGCATTTCCTGCATTAACATATAATTTTTGCTTTAAACCACTTGGTTGAAAATTAACAAGAAGAGCAAGCATGTAAACCAAAAATTGGTTTCTCGGTTTAATGATGAAGGAATTATTTCAACTATCACGTTAAATGTAAGCCATAGTGTCATGCAATCGTAGGTTTAATTTAGATGTGACCTTTGCTGTGTGAAAATCACTATGACATAGTGTGGTCACGCATTGCTTGATTGTGCTTGAAAATAAGCACTGCGTGGGCCAATGTATTGATGTTGTTCCTTTTCATGTTAAAATAAACAATATTAATCACACTGGTCCAGGAAAAAGAAGGTCTGTACAGGGGCAGTAACTTATTGTGATCAACCAAAAAGCATACAATCATGTTTAAACTCTAAGACTCTCTCCAGTTCTCCTCTCATAAGTTGTAGGATCTGATACATGATCATCTTTCATAGGATCTAGAATACATTGCATTGGCAACCTTCAGTTTCAAAAGACTATGGTATCGTGCTCTGGATAGAGGTCCTAAAACAGCATCTGGTGTGACTAAGAATAGGTGTCCTAGAAAATCATCATGCTGTCATCCTTACTATGAAACTGAAGACTGAAGAGTGTTTTGTGAGATCAACTAATGCCAAGCAAGTCAAAAGATTGGACATTTTCAAAGTACTCTACATAGCCTGTTCCAGGATTGGAACAGCATTTTTCAATAGCTAGTACCATCCAACTGCAAAGGTTACATTTGAATTTTTAAAAAACGTCTACCAGAATAGTGAACTTGGAAATGTTATTATTATATTTTAACTATTATATGGAGTGACTTTGCTGCTACACAGTGATCGTTCAAGCTATTTTCTTGTATGCACTGATAATATTGCACAATATGTCATGTTAAACATTGTTTAATTTGATTTTCTTCATGTAATCACTCATTATTCATATAAGAAGACTTGAATTTTGTGTTATTTTACTATATACAGTTGCAAATAGGTTTTTTTCTTCTTATTACTATCAGTGCCTGAAAAAAAAAATCTTTATCTTGGGCAATTTCTGAATCAAATGATCCGCTCAACTACATGCAGCTTTTTTTTTTAGAGGATATTGTGTGACCTGGCCTCTTGTCTACCTAAATTGCTTGGTAGGTTGTGTATCTTCCGTAAAGGACACATAACATTTTCTTTGATAGAATCAGAAGCCATTTTTGGCTGACAATAGGGTGCAGTGATACATTAATTTTTTACCTGAGTGATGACTGCCACTATATAAATTTTTACTTTTTCTCTTTTAATGTGCAGTTTCTGCCAACAGTGTAATCCTGTATATATATATACAATAGTTTATACTAATTTAGAAGCAAAAATTTGCTAAATCAAATGAAGCTTGTCATCTAGTAAGTCTGTGTAGCATAGATGAGGAACCTGTTGCTCTCCAGATGTTGCAAGACCTCCCAACTCCTGCCTTTCTTACCATTAGCCCGGGGGGGGGGGCAACATTTGTTAATGTTATTCAACAATACTGTAAGGCTACAGATTCCGTATCTCTTCCCATGTTTAGATAGCAATTCTTATTGTAAGGTTTATGCAGGAAGGACTTGTAGTATTTTTTGCTCTTACATTTAAGAGCTAAGAGTAGGTGGATTCCAGTGACATATCTAAATTCATAACAGGTGATCAAGATACTAATGGCTAATCCCTTTGCTCTTAGTTTATTATCCTCCTAAATTAGGCTACTAGATCTGGTCTGCAAAAATCCAGAAGACCATGATGTGGAAGCAAAGAAAGAAGAGTTTTATTTGTGGCCATTTAATGATTTTTGCAGCCTGTGTACAAAATGATGAAGATTTTCAGCATATCAGTACAGATGTTCAGAAGATTGTGTGGCAGAATTCATGTAAAATGTTAACTCCATTTTATCACATTGTAATTAGCTGTGAAAGGATGTTCAACAGAAAAGATCCAGATCAAGAGGTCTGTGCAGTCCTGAGCTGGATGGAGGAAATGGGGAAGAGATTCAGGGTAGCCAGACCCTAAAATCTCTCATGATATATCTGATGCCTTAGAAAGCTACCAGCTTGGCAAGATTCTGTCAATTAGATGTAAACAAATAAAGGATTGGACATGATTGGATCTCACTGGGCTTGGGCCTGACAATAGGAGAAGGAATGGCACAACCATACTGGTGGTATGTTATTGTTTGTAGGAATTTATCACCTGGCCAAGGATAATTTTTCTTTAGCCTGCTTCACAGGTTCCCGCAAACTGATGTCCTTCAATATCCTATCCTGGGCTTAATATATTCTAGAAATTAAAATCCAAAATAGCTGAAGGGCACTGTTGGGCAATAGTGAGAGAAGAATGTCCAATAATCACAAGAATAAATATATTATGACAGGGGGGGAGGGGGCAATCATGCCACATGACAATTTTCAGCTTTCTAATTCTATTATCTCAGGCAATATTACCAATTAAAACAAATAGTAGCAGGAGTCAGGAGGCTCAAAGAAACTGTGTTTGAATTCTGTAATTTTCTGTAATTATGTATTCGACTGACCTATTAAACTAGCTATAATTTAGTCAAAGAGGACAATTTGATGAGTGATTTACGAAGGAATGTGCTGTTTATCAGAGAAATTGGGCCTTTGTCCCAAAAGCAAATTCTAGACTGGAAGCCAATCAGTTGAAGAGAGCCATCCGAGCTGCCTCTTTTCCTGGACATGTTATTGCTTCAACTGCACATCGATGGTTTCTGTGTGATTAGGCATCCTTTCTACTTTTTTGTCCTTGGTTCAATGCTTTCGTACAAATGAGCTCTGGACAGACATTTGTATCTGGTGCACAAAAAGGATTAAAGCAGCGTATCGTAATTGCAGTTCATTGAATTAGCCAACATCCAGCCATATCTGTGCTTCCTTTTTTTTCATTCAGGATGTTTATATCTTGAAAATTAGAATAGTTGCTTCCTATCTCCTCATGGAATGAAATCTCCATTGCCTTTTATTCTTCAATTGCATTTCCCTAAACTGAGAAGTAAAAGGTATAATCTACAGCATGGCTACTAGTTGAAATCATTCCATGTATGCTTCATATTGCCTGGGAAGCCAAGCATTTATTGGTTCCAACCACAAAGTCCAGTGTTTCCCCCCTCATTCTTGATTAATCTTGATTTAACAAGACCTGAATTCTATATTCTCAGTTTCCACACACATTATTCCAAGAGCAGTGACACTTTTTACCTTTTAGAACAGGGGTGTTAAACTTGTGTCATTCACAAGAGCATCACATGATATATTGGGACTTTTTTCTCCTTTGCTAAACTGGGCATGGGCGTGGCCAGCGCATGAAGCATCTGACCTGTTGGCCACAAGTTTGACAACCCTGTTTTAGAAGTAAGATATTCCCTGTAAATAGACTTTCTCCTTTAAGATAAATAGCTAGTTAAGATATCATATCAATGCTTTGCACACTCTCTTACACCCTGAAACAACAATAGACGGGAGGGAGTTACTAAAAAGAATGCAGATGAATTCATGATTAGACAATTAGTTCATCTCTGACCAATCCCTGTAATTCCAGAAAAATTTGTGATCACAAATGAAAATTTAACAGTTGATGACAATCCTTCAAGAGTAACAATTCCTAGCATTACTCATCAGTAGTTGGGCTCTTCTGTTGCAAAACAACATTGCAATTGGGTTTCTGCAATTTCAGGATGAAAACGAATGTTATTCTGTATATTCTACTATTATTTGCTGACATGTGAGTATGACATACTTTGTAATCTTACAATTATGGATAGATCGGGTTTTTTTAAAAAAAATGTGTTACAAGTAGTCCTCCAAGTACGACACAATTGAGCCCAAAATTTTTGTTATTAAGCGAGACATTTGTTAAATGAATTTTGTTAGGAAACTGCAGCCATCATAAATATGAGTCAGCTGCCAAGCATCTAAATTTTGATCACATGATTATGGGGATGCTGCAATGGTCATAAATGTGGAAAACGATCATAAGTCACTTTTTTTCAGTGTTGTTATAACTTTGAACAGTCACTAACTGAACTGTTGTAAGTCAAGGACTATCTGTATTTATTTTGTGAGGAAGTACAATTTATTTGGGAGACTACTTCCCAATTATATTAATTTTATAAAAGAAGACTTAAAAGGATCTTACTACAAATATAAACGACCGAAAACCAGCAAACATATTTAATGTGGTGCTAAAATGGAACTGATTAGAAAGACTGAGCTTTTTCCTTGTATTGTTTTACAAATGTGCTAATGACTTGAAGTGTTATTGTACAAATAATTTGATTACGTAACTACCTACTTACCACTATCACCATTCCCCACCTTATATGTATCCAAAAACACATTTTAGCCCAAATTTTAAGATTTTTTTTAAAAAACACTGATTCAATTGTATTCTAATGGGAAGAGTAATACCAAAACTGAGGTGAAGTAGATAGGCTTCACTGTAGTGATATACAAATTCACCACCACTATTTGATAAGTTATTGCACACAGCAAAATCACATCTCTTAAAAATGCAAGTAAATGTCAAAAGATTAATAAGCAACACATGGCTATTGCAGAATAAATACTGTACTGTGGAAGCACTGCAGAATGCAGATTGTCATCATGGAGGACTTGTGATGTGTATTGTTCAATTATTTACCTTGGTAGTGCTGGGGGGGGTCAGAAACTATATGAGAAGAAAATTATCTACAGAAGGATAATCTATTGGTGCTTATCTACATTGTATGATGCCCGTTCTTCTGTTGTACGTTTCTTCTGTATTTTTAATGCAACCTACTAAAAAGGGATATTTTGGTTCAGATCCTTTTTCATGTTACAATTCCATCTTCCCACTTCCAGGAAAACTGCATCAGAAATATAGTATGAAGAAATGAAGCTAAATTGCTTCCCAAAACAGAGCTATTAAAAAAATATATATTTCTTGGTTTGAAAAAACAGCAGTAGCTCTCCAAGATTGTCAAGGCAAGCTTAATTCCAAATATATAAATTCAAGAAACATGAAAAAGGGTCTTTAAAATATTTTCTTCAATGTGCAAAATAATTTCTAAAAGGAAAAATGAATATGTTTAGTACCACACTCTTGGGATATTCATCCATGTGTAAAAATACTGTAATAACCCAACATGAATTTGTTTCCCAAAGGGTTTTAACTAAAATCACTGAAACATAAATTTTGCTTTAAGTGCCTATAAAGTTAATTTATGGCAAATACCTCTTCAAGAGTATAGATTTTAAGGGTATGGATTTTACATACAAATCTAAGGCTATCAGATTTGAGTTTCAAGAATCTGGTAATCCATGAGATGGAAGGGCAAGGTATTGAAAAATATTTTTATTGTTATTTCATGATTTTTGCATATCAATCTGGTAGCCCTACCAGAAATCTGTTTCTTCAAGAATGAGTGCTAATTTGCACACCAACTTCTGATCCCAAATCAAGCCCAGTTGAATCAGATGGTAAAGGTTGAATATTAGACTTTTTTTCAGCCACCTAGAGAAGAATCTGCTTATTCGGTGCTAAGAGTAGTATTTTCTATAAAGTAGTTTAAATTACTGACAATAGTTATAGTGATGAAGCCATATCTCTGATTTTTAGGGACATGACTCTTAATTAATAATATTTTGCTTAAAATCTCAAGGTTTAAATTTATCCATTTGTCCCATGACCAGCCGATGTTCAGAACTGAAAAAAAAGCCTTTTTCAGAATTTCCCTTTTTCTCTGCCTCTCCCCCTTTTTATTGTTGTTATGGAATAGCTCTGATTAAGAGCCTTTGTTGAAAGAGAAAGCCACCAATGCCTATCCATAGAGTTAAATCTGCTTCTCTGCAAAATGGCCATTGTTGCTATTCATGCTGTTTGCAAATGTCATCCTAATGCCACTATAATCTACATTGCTGTTGTACTCATACCAAGTAGATGAATAAAGTTTTAAACTTTATTCTTACCTATTGTTTGGATGTTTTTTCTTTATTCAGCTCATGTTAATACAGTGAAAATGCATTTGGTCATGCTTGATGATAAAACTTGTGACACACTGTTTGCAAAACAGAGGATATGTTGGGAACAATTATTGACGAAATTGTATACATTTTGAAGATCTTCTGGTATTTTCTGAAACGATACTTGGGGGATTGCTCAAAATAGGGTCAGTATTCCCTTGGCCACAAACTTTTTAAATTATTCAATAATTATTACTGTGACTGATAAATAACAGACACATGGTTTTGAGATCTCAGCCTTAATTTCAGGGTTATTGTGTAGGCCAACAGCTCCCTTAATGTCCTAGAATTAACAGCATGATTTGTAAGAGTTATGCACAATTATAACGTTTTTGCAAAGTTTATGGATTGAAAATGTAAAATTCGTTGTCTACAGCTTCTCATTCAACGCAGAAGAGTACGAGTTTGTAATTACTGTATTAGTCAAAAGCTAAAATTAGAGCAGGATGTGGTTAGTAAAGTCAGTAGTAGACGACTGATAAGAGCTATGCAACAGCAAGTCACAACATAATATAGAGCTGTGGGAGATAGAAGATAAATTTACAAGTACAAAATGGAGGAGATAGGTGAAACAACAGAAAAGATTGAAATGAAAAAAAATCTTAGAATAATAATTTATTAAAAATGAACACAAGTGAGCAATGTGATTGTACAAAAAGACAAAGAGAATTTTAGACTGCATCAAAAGCAGTTTGTCAAATCATTGAAAAGTTATATTCTGCACTGGACAGATTCAATGTCAATTATTGTGCCATTCCAGGCAGACTGGTTTAATTAACTCAGAAAAGGCAACAAGGGCAATAAGGAAAGTAAAAAGTCCAATGAAAGCAATTGATGGTATTGGAAATATTTTGGATAGAGAACCTGGAAGGATGTGACATGAGAAAGGCATTGTCTATTTTATCCAGAGCTCAGAAAAATGAACATGTGATAGAAGACACATTTTTATTATGCAATAAAAAATAATTCTTAAAAAGAGTGTTTTGAAATATTTTAAGATACATCCCTTTCACCAAGTTCAACGATCTTATTATTTATTTTAGTGTTTGCATTTTAAAGTTTCTATTTTCTGTTTTTGTCCTTTAAACACTGTTAGCTGTCTTGCCTCTTCCCCAGAAATGAAAGATGTGATTGATGTAAATCAAATAAAAATGAATAAGTCAACCACTGCACCGGCTGAAGGCAATCACATTAATCATAGAAAGATATTTCAATTCACAATCTTATAATCTTCATCCTGGGCAACAGATTTTTTTGGTTGTTGAATGAACAAACAGTGGAATGTGTTGGTTGCTATATATATGAAAGTGTCAGGCCAAAAGCCAAATTTATTTCATATTTGAGAAGCCAAGAAGATGTCACAATGATCATTTAGGCAGCCAGCCTGATATTTGCTGTGCACATTGACCCTAGCAAATGATTCATCATCATCATTCTTCATACTTACTTAAAGCCTTTTCTTCTCAGATAATGAAAAAACTAAATTCCAAATTCTAAAAGTCTGGTTTTCTTTCCTGCTTCCTGATACAGAAATAATTGTGAGTTTCTGACCTCTGAGTAATGATTGAGGAATGTATTACATCTCCCAACACAGCAGGGCAGCTGGTAAAGTGAATCTTCACAGCAAGTTAAAAATACAGATAATGGTGCCAAAACCCAGATCTGATTGAAACATAGTCAAATGTCAACACTAATTTGCTGCTAAATACATACGGTTCCATGGGATTACTTTTAAGTACAGAGTAATGCACTAGGGTTTTTTTTTCCTTTACCAACACAGTAAACTCTCCTGCCGTCCCATTTTCCCCCTCCCTCTTCATTTCACATTTAGTTTCCTTTGCTTAAGTTTCTATAAGGCTGGGGAAAAAACTTAGTTCAAAGTTTTCTGTGGTGGAAGGGCCTCAGGAACATGTACAGTTCCGGGACATGAATAAAGAATAATAAAAAAAGAAGGTCATTGTTCCAGGGAATGCCCCTTCCAGAGTTGTCCTTTTATGGATTGTGCCTTTTATATTTGTAACCCCAGAGAGCCTAGAACAATCCATAGTTTTGGTGAGCCTCTGAGCTGCAGTTTCTTTTGACAGATCAGTGAGATCAGGACTTGTAAGATTCTCTACACATGCATCATTGTGAGAGTATAGAACTGTGACTGTAACAAAAATGCCAATAGTGGCTATGAAATAATGAATATGAAAATAAATAAATTGTACTGTATCTTTCTTTTGTAGCTGAAAACCAAACTTGAGAAAAGTAGTGTTTCTTTTTTTTTTTATTAAAAAGTTTTTTTAAAAAATTCACATATTTTCCCTTCCCTCCTCCCCCCCTCCTGCCCCAACCCTCCCGCCCCCCAGGACTTCCCAGGGCAAATACAGGATATAGCATTTAACAAACATACATACATACATACATACATACATACATACATACACATAAGCTAACTATAGGTTTATCTCCCTTTTGCACTTTAACTCCCCTTGTTCATATCTGAATATAACTATTTAAACCAATTATTGCTTGAAGATAATCAATCCAACTTCGTTCTTGTCCGTTCTTCAATAATAAGCAAGTCTTCTTTCTTCCAGCATTGCACAATCAGCGCCCAATTACAAATAACCATCACATCTCCAACCCTTATATTATAAAAACCTTACTTTTACTTTTTACCCCATAAACTTATATCGATTCTTCCTGAAAACATTCCTTACTTAATAACTTTGCATAAACTTATTCATCTTATTCTCTACACTTTAGTGTTAATATACTTCAAAACAAAAATAAGAAAAGTAGCATTTCTTAACAGTAACAGTAACAGAGTTGGAAGGGACCTTGGAGGTCATTTAATCCAACCCCCTGCTCACACAGGAGACCTGTATTAGGGATTCGAACTGCCGAACTGCCGATCTTTCTGCCACCTAGTCAGGATTTTGTTTAAAGAGTTGTGGACTGGTGCTACCAAGTTATGGTCGTGTGCTTTTTTTCCTTTAAAGCCAAAGTGTTGCACAGCCTTATTGCTTGCTGAGGATGTTTTGTAAATAATTAGGAAATGAATATTTCAAATGCATGCAGTAAACATCATAAAAAACTATGCATTTCTTTAAAACAGGTATGTGTAATGTTTTGGCGTCTAATGGCCTTAAATCATATATCAAGCCTAAACTACAAAAACAGCAGGGTGACAACAACAAAAAAATAGAGATAATTTAAATTCAATGAGTCTACTTCAGTGGTAGCACCTTAGTGACCTTAGTTATCTCCAAAACTGAAGGAGAATTGGACCAGTTTAATTCTTGGATGGAGTGCATAGAAAATCCCAAGATTGTTGCCTAGGCAATGGAAAATTTTTAAAACTGGTAAAAGTTTATTGTTACCAAGGAAGTTGTATGGGAATGCCCATGTAGTTATCAAAATATTGTTTTGAGGGAATCTTTGTTTTCAATGCAGTTTAGTACACTTGCTTAAAAATATTCCCATGTGTTTAATGTTTTTAAAATAATTCCTCTGTCCTACCAGCCAAATAAATAAAAAACTTGAGTTTTCTGAAGAACTTCTCTGGAATACCCTCTTGATAATTTCCATCATGACTTTTCTTTGACATCATCTTTCTGGCAAGAGTAGCAATTGTTCAGAGGTAATTTACACAAGACACAAGCAAGCGGGAGCTGAGGTCACAGTAGATGGGAAAACTCCCGTTGTCTCAGTAATACTCAGTAATACCATCTGCTGACATCACCTCCCTTGCTGAAGTCCTATGCAGCAGATACAACTTAGTAGTGGTTCTTTACAATTTTGTAATGAGGCCACAAGCCATATCCAGTGCTAGGCTCACACATTAGCCATATTTATTCTGAAAGAATGACAATATTATTTCAAAACTTTCTTAATCTTTTATATTATTTCCTTTCCCAAAACTTTAGACTGCTGCTTTTTACTTAATTATTCAAAGAATGTAATGGATCCCTCTGTCTTATCTCCATCTCTAGACTTCTTGGACTGATTTTCTTGAGGATATATGTAAAATGTGTCCTTTGCTGCTTCTATTAGTTGTTGGCACCAACAAAAGTGATACCAAAATTACAATAGGTGCATCATGAAGACATCAAGTAAATGCTGCAATGATGTACAGATGTGTGACAATAATACAGTAGGTTGTGATGTTTGCATGATAATGTGATCATACATATTTCATCAGTAACCCTTCTACTAGTTCCACTGGCCAAATTTATTAAGGAGAAAATTTTGAATAAGCAAACTCCCCAATTAACAGCTTGGTTTGCTTCAGGGTTCTTTCTGGTTGAATCCAAAAACACCCCACAACATCTAAACAATATTTACATAACAGAGAGATACCCTGGATTTGGCCAAGTCTGGATCTGAAGGTTAAATGAAAAAAGGGGATTCAGTGATTAATGGATTTATCCTCAAAATAGAGTGATTCTTGAAATTCTCAGGATGCCTCTTAAGGGATGAAAATATCCTGAAGGTCGAGAGAGATCATATTATGTCTAAAAAGAAAAAAAAAATACTCTAATTTCTACAAACTTACCATATTGTGCCTCTAATACTGTAGCTTTCCTTTTGTCCTTAAAAGCAGGGTGCAAAATTATAACCATTTATACTTTTTTTCCATGCAACCTTATAAGACGACAAAATCATTTGACTTTTTTGCTAAAGTTATGAGCACTGACTATGATTGAACCATTTTCAGAGCAACTAGATCAGAACAGTTCTCTCAATTAGGCCTCTGAATTGGATTACTTAGTTTTAGCACCCCTAATATATAAATGAAAAAAGCTAGTTTCCGTAAATAAGGAGACAATGAGAGGACTTTCTTTTTCATTGTACCAAAGGTGCTTTTTCCAAAAGGCATCTAGGCTTTTTTGATTTTTTTCTTTGAAAACGTTTTGCTTCTCATCCAAGAAGCTTCTTCAGTACAATTCTACCTTTT